TGCTACATGCACCCAATTTTTCTAAACCATTTATACTACAGACAGACGCATTAGATCAATGATATGGTGTTGTTTTAGCCCAGAAAGATGATAAAGAGAAAGAACATCGCATATTGTATCTCAGTAAAAAAATTACAGATAGTGAGTGGAAGTATTCCACCACTGAAAAAGAGTGTGCCGCAATTCTGTATGGAATAAAAAAATTGAAAGGCTATATAGACGGGCAAACTAAATTTTCCATTCAAACAGACCATAATCCCCTCGTATGGCTAAAAATAATGCAGGTAGAAATGGTCGATTATTACGCTGCCTTAGCCTTGCAATCTTATATTTTACGATACATCATAAAAGGGAATGACAACTTAAATGTAGACTGTTAAGTAGAAACTCTGTATGCGCCAGTTAACCAAACGAGTTATCATTTCATTTTAAATTGTCTGTTATTATTTGGTTATATATATTGTATTTTTATTTTTATTAAATTCATACTATATAGTAAATGTTAGCTTTAGTCTAAGACAAAAAATTTTGTGTTGTTTTTTCATATATTGTATATGTATTTTTATGTGTTCTTTTTATGATGGCCTGGTTATGAGAGTGGAGAGCCTTTGTAACAGTGTGGTTTAAAATTAACTGGTAAAATGTTGAACAATCTCTACTGAAAGCAGAAACTGAACTTTAAAAAAAAAAAAAAAAGTTTTTCTTCTCCTGTGTCCGGAGAAACGAAAACTGGAGACAGAAGGTGTTTGTTTGTAACCTGCCTGAAATTTTATTTTGTCCTGTAGGAAAACAAAATCTGGAGGCGGAAGGAGTCAGTCTGTAAAAAACGCTCCTGAACGTTCTACTAAAAAGACTTATGATGCTCTCGACTAGAGAGAACTTCGTTAGCAGACTCCTCACACTATGAGGACTATAATTCCTTTTTAATACCTATTCTAAAGAACTGTGAATGGCAACGACGTAACTGAGTAATGCGCATGCGTAAAGAGAAGAGACTTCTGGTCGGACACCTGCCGGAGAGAGAGTTTGGGAAGCTCCGCCAGCGAGCTGAGGTGTGGAGACTTTATTCATTCGGTGATGACGAGTGCTATCATCGCTAATGTCTCTGATTGTGCCACCAGCTCGGATATCTACTAAAGTTTTCTAAATGTATTAATTAAATATTGTATCTGTGGTATGTGCTGTGAATAAAAAGTGATGCACCACCAATACAGGTATTAATTCCCTTACAACTTAAGCATCCACGATGTCACAGTGCCATAATAAAGTGTTTTTTTTTATCAAAGAATTTATTTTCAGTGAAATACGTCATCACGTCGTTTTTTGCTAAAGGACATAAACAAGATATGTGTGTTCTAGCAAACGAACTTGGTATGAATGTTACGGAACAAATGACAACAGTTGATATTAAGGATGCTATTTTGATGAGTAATGGATATAATGAAGAGTTCACTAAAGATATATTTTTTAGCATTATTGTGGAACAAAAAGAAACAGAGAAACGTGAATTTAATGGAAGAAAACAGCGTGAGGAACACAAATATAATGAAAGGAAAGAAATAGAAGAATGCAAGCATTAGCTTGAGAAATTGAAAATACAAGTAGCTAATTCAAGTGCTAGTCATGATTCTGTACCTGCTTTGAAACCCATTGACACAGATTAAGTTACAATTATAAACTTTAATTCCTCACTTCAATCCAAAAAGTGATGACATGAGCCTTTTTCTCACTTTATTTGAAAGGCAACTAACAATTTTGAACATACCTCAAGGGAAATGGGTAGTGTATCTCTTAGGTTTGTTACCTAATGACGTTGTAAAACTGATTGCGAAGGAATCTGTTAGTGATGCACAAGATTATGACATCAAACAAATTATCTTAAAGCATTTTAAATTAAGCGCTGAAAAGTTCTGACAGTTATTTTCACAGCATCGCAAAAGTCCTGATAGTACATGGCGAGATTTTTACTTCAATTTGAGAAATTTCTTTGATGGCGGATTGGCGAATTAAAGTCAAGACTTTTGAAAGTTAAAGGGTTTGATGATATCGGACCGATTTAAAGACGGTCCCCTTCTGAGTATAGAGAACTTTTTGTGGATCTTTCGTCAGAGTGGACTGACCAGTGTCAACTGGCTGATAAATTAGATTTATATGAAAAAGCTAAAAACATCAGCAGTAGAAACGTCAGTAATAACACTCCAAAGCCATCTCAATGCAGTGGTCCTAAAAATTATAAAAATAACCCTCAAATTGTTACAAACTCAGCGACAAGGAATTCTGGCATGAGAGAAGATCGACCAACTGTTAGTTGTTATGGTTGTGGAAAATCAGGTGTCATTATGGCTTAGTGTCCAACCTGCTCTTCTTCTTTAAGTAAAGAATCAGCCGACTTCGAAGCAATAAACTTACATACAGTGTCTGTAGAGACATCTCACACGACTCTTTTAAGAGTAAAAATCAACGGATTTACGGGAATTTTCTGTGCTGACACTGGCGCTACTCACACTATAGCGGAAGAAACATTATATAATCTCTTGAAAGAACAGGGATCAGTATTTAAGAAAACTATTATAAAGGACGCTCTTGCCGACAGTACCCAAAGGGACGAAGAGATCCACATGGCCCAGGTAGACATTCACATTAAAGGAAGATCATTCCGCATAAATTTATTTGCACTTCCCTCAGCAAAGGGTAACAGGACACTTTTAAGGATCGAATTTAATTAGAACTGTTGGAATTGTTTTGGATCTACAGAATCATTGGTGGTTTTACCACAATAATCCGCAACAAAAGTTTAAGTTTATTGATAATGATTCTAAGCCCAATGATCGAACCGAATGTAGGTCGGAAGTTGACACTGTACTGTTAAGAGAATGTGAAGGACAACATCTATTGGCTCATCAAAGAGATCACAATTAAATGAATTATTGAGTCAATATTCAACTATCTTCAAACCAGGGGGAGATGCAACACCTTTCATAGAACACTGAATTAAAACTGGAAAGCATCCTCCAGTAGCTGCACCACCATACAGAATGAACCCTGCCAAGATAGAAATCTTAAAGCAAGAAATTAACAAGCTCTTATCTGAAGGAATAATTGAAGAATGCGAAATCCCCTTATGCATCCCCAGTTGTTTTAATACCAAAACCTAATGGAATAGTATACCTCTGCATAGATTATCAGAAATTTAACACGATTACAGTTTCGGATTCCTATCCACTTCCGAGAATGAACGACGAGTTACATGAGGCAAACAATAATCAGACGGAAAATAATACACAACTAAAAAATTAATCCTTGCTTATGCTTAGACACTTTAGGTTTTAAAACTTACAAATAAGTAAATGAGAGTTGGACTAGAATTTTAATAAATGAAAAATTACCAAATGTTTGATAAATCCTTTCTCCTACTGTATCATACAGATGGGTGGTTATATAATGCATCATTTATTAGCACAGAAATGGAAAAAGAATAACGATATGAAGGAAAAAAAAAAACGAATTCTTCAGGCTTTATTACATTGGAATTGAACTGAATAAGGGCAGTTATAATACTTGAATTTGACAAACAACATAGTAGAAAAAAAGACTATCTCTTCATCATATCAATGGCACTTTCCTGCTAAGTTGGTTTCTTCAGCAAAAAAAATTTATCCTGCCACATAGCACAGATTGTTAGCAAACAGTCTGAAACATATAATGAATGATTTAAAGTCCTACTAAGTGTGGCACAACTCATACTAATCAAAATCTACCATGTCAAAACAAGAAATTTCATCCAAAAAGATTCCAATTCACAACCTACTTCAGAATTAAGAATATCTGGTATTCGATTCTCTTAAGTACAAGCAGAGGTCTCGGTAGTCAGTTCAGGCTGCAGAAGACTGGTGCTTTCTGATAACATTTGGGGCAGCAACAGTAAGTAAAGTCATTTTACTTTCCTCATCAGTGTCGGCAAATCAAAACAGACACCTTTTTCAGTTTTTCTAATTCAAAAACGTAGTCATAATATAGTATAAGATTCTGTTTTATCAGTTTATTATAAAAAATACGTCAGATTTTATAAAAAAAAAACAGCTGAAATCTGAAAATTTCTATAAATTTTGTTAGACATCTTCAATCAGTTTCTAAATGCAATAACAGCTTAATATATTTCGATACTTTGATACAGTCAAAAGTCGTTAATTCGGACACCCATAATCCGGAATGAACTTAACGACTTTTGACTGTATTATACATCATAAAATTTATAGGCAATTTTATTACACATAGAAAGTCCTATTTAAAAAGATTTCATAATTATCAATACAAAGGGGGGAAAGGCAACATAACACCATGAAAAATTAAAATTAAAAAACATTATAATTGGCTTAGATGCACAATGAGAAATGTATTAGATTTGTAACTTAATGGATTTTTCCTACCTAAAAGAATTTACATAAGCCGTATACCAATAAACAGCAAGCATAAATATGAACACTTCACCTTTTTTATTTGGCACTACAAACTTCAGCAATCTTAGTATAATAATTAAAAGATTTCATAATATATGAAGCTGAATATGAACACTTTTCTGAGCTTTGTTTTAATAAAATTGTAAATCACAATAATCCCACAACAATGACTATAAAAGATATACAAGCACTATCATTAGGAAACTATTAGTATTCACTGGTATCATTCTGCTTTCCTCTGGTGGAGCAAAATATACCATAAACAAGATCCAAAACGGACTATAGGTGGCACTAAATGCTTTAATAAAAGATGATTTCCACAAGGCAGTTTCATGGTAAAAGATGCTAAAATTTGTGCCTGTACTTCATTCGGTTTGTTTTGAAGAAGATTAGCTTTGAAGGTGAATTGAAAGAATAAAAGCAAAACATAACACTTAAAAAAAAAAAAAAAAAAAAAACTTTAAGATAAAAGTTTGTTTAATACCCAAAATAAAGAAGTAATCCATTTTAAAAGAAAGATAGTACACAAGTTCATCAACTTACTTAGAGCTTTTCGATTTATCATGTCAAAAACTCTACCAGGAGTCCCAACTACTACATGAACACCCATTTCTAGTTTACGAATATCTTCACGGACATTAGTTCCTCCAATGCAGGCATGGCACTGAGCATTCATATAATCACCCAAAGCAATGACAACCTTCTGAATCTATATCAAGAAACAAATTATGTACATACATACAGGAATTTTGTTATGATTTTCTTCACAAAATTATGCACATATCTTATTTGCTCTTAAATAAACTGATCCTTGGAATCAGGTACTTAACTTCAAAAATTAATGCATAGTTTTTTTTCTAATTTCAAAACTAGAGGCATTTTGTCAAGCTTTTTTCCTTTGCATTATTATTATTATTGTTTTATGTATGTTTTGATAAATGTTTTAATAAGTAAACTTTTAGCTAAAAAATTTTATTTTGTAAAAAAAAAAAAAAAAAAAAAAAAAAAAAGCATTCTGGCCCATTATTTGCTTTAAGATTGTGCATTCGGCCCACATGCAATTTGAATTTGAAACCACTGCCACAGCAGACACTTATACCCTATCCATATGGTCTATCTGAAAATTCTGTCAGTTTTAGAAATAAAAGAAAATACAATTTCCATACCTTTAATAATTTTAATGCACATTATAATATCTATTATTACTTATGGCCTCTTGCCAGCATAATGGTAATTTATAGATACCAACTTTAAAAAATGTCTTATTCTTAGTGCTTGGCTGACATCTGCTCCCATTTTGAATTTTTTCCCTTCAAAAAATTTTGCAAGGACAGAAACAAGTGATAATTGAAGAGTGCTAGGTTTGGGGATATGGTGGATGAGAAAGAATTTCTCTGATTAGCTTTGCAATTTTCTGCTGACTCACCAAAGCAACATGTGGTCATGAGTACTACTAGCCTCTTTTCTTTAACCTTTTATTTTATTTATTTATTGTTTATTGCCCATTTGCTAAAAGTATCTTACCAAATTAAGTTTTTCTTTAGGTTTGAAAAGCTTAAAATGTATTGGTCCTTTAATGTCCCATCATATACACAGCATTCTCTTACTCGAGGTTAAATCCGGTTCAAAGGTGGATATAGCAGGTTGTCCAGACTCATAGTATGCTCTTTTTTTAAATAAATCTTTGTTCTGAGCAAACAGAGATGTGTTTGAGAATGCAAAATTTTCTCACTTAACCCATGATGGAATATTTATAGATCAATCTTAGCTTCTAAATATGATCCAAAATGGTTTGCTAAGCTTTTCTGCAATCTTTGTTGTTGTCCAAAAAGGATCTTGCTCTCAGAATGTGGCTTATCACTAAGGTTGACATCACCTGCTTCAATTTTTTTTAGCCATCTCTTGCATGTTTCATCTGAAACTGCATCTTTATCAAAAACTGTCACTAAGTTTTGACATGTTTCTGTACCACCTCTTCCTTGTTGAAATTCATACTAAATACTGGTTGTAAATGAACTTTGTCGGCAGCCATGTTTACACAATTGCATTTCACTTAATAACGATATGAGATACTATTGTTTCAGTTAAATTAGAAGATCAAATATTTATAAATGCAGTGATAAAGAGAGAGAGCCATATATATCTCCAATGAACACTTGAATGCATGTTGAAATTTGAAATGTTATTGGACAGAACTTTCCAGTAAAACATATATATATGTACAAGGATTGTTTTTTCTTCAACCTCTGATGGATTATTTAAAAAAAAAAAAAATTTTCAAGAGTAAAGAAAAATAATTAATTTACTAGCAAAATTTATGTACAAATTTCATACTTTTCGACAAACTCATTGTGAAGATTCAGGTGTTTATCATATCTTTCTGAAGCCCTCTTCAAAGAAAATCGTCCCCAGTGATGTGAAATGGGCCTGAAGGTTATTTTGAAGCTCCTGATTGGTTTGGAATATTTGGCCTCCAAGCCAGTTCAGTTTGGGAAAAAATACATAAATTATGCAACACTGAGCTGCACGGTGGGTGATCGAACACATTCTATTTTAACTGCTCCAGAAGCTGATGGGTTACAGCAGCATTGTGAGGGTGTGCAATGCCTTGAAGAAGGACAACTACTATTATATTATGGAATTAATCAACTACTGTTGATTGAAGTTGCGAGCATCCACTAACGTACACAGGTTTTTTTTTAATTAACTGATTTAAAAAACGAGAACAAAATTCATTTACATTTTCTGATGCATCGTTGAAATTAACCGTGATGTTTCACCTGGCAAGAAGAATCTTCTTTACAGAAAAAAATAATTATTTTCTTGACATCACATTTTATTTACATAAAACATTCAAAAGGGAAAAAAACCAATAGTTAATTATATTTTCCTGTACAGCCTCTCTTTTTCACTCATGGCTGTACAAATCAAATAATACAGTCCATCCAAGGCACGGATTCGAGACCGAAGTGTCTACTGTTTACGAAAAAGGAAAAAATAAACGTTTAAAATTTCTCTCACTAGTGGAACTCTTGTTGCCATCTAGTGAGAATGTACAGCCCATCTTTTTCACTCACGGCTGCACAAATCAAATTATATCGTCCATCCATTATCAATCAAATTATATTGTCCATACCAGATTCGAAACCTAAGTGTCTGCTGTTTACAAAAAAGAAAAAATAAGGTTTAAAATTTCTCTCACTAGTGGGACCCTTGATGCCATCTAGTGAGGGAAAGACACCCTTTAACATCTAACAACTACAGAAATCAGCATTCCTCTTCATTTGTTTTGATTGGCTCTTCACAGTCATCATGAAGTCTAACAATAAATATTACACTGGCTGTAGTTCCTGGTTCCATAAACTCAACATGCAACAAACCTTTTTGGACTCAAAAAAAAAAAAAAAAAAAAAAAATCATAGCCACAGCCTTCCTGTTGTTGAAGCTTTGTTTGATTTTCTTCGGTCTGTTTGGTGAGCCTGAAGTCATCCATTAATTTGACTGTTGTTTTGTTTCTGGGATGATTATGCTGAATCCTAGTATCATCAACAGTAACAACTGGTTTCAAGAAACCTTCACCTTCAGCAAGGGTAAGGAAAGACAACATTGAAGCCATTCAAAGAGTTTTCATCAAACAACATTTTTGGAACCCATCAAGCACAACCTTTTTTATAGCAAAGTGTTTTGCAATGATCTTGTAAAAAGACTACCTTGACAGTTCAGGAAATTTCACACACAACTCACTTATGGCAAACCTCCGCTTCTGCCAAACCACTTGATCAATTTACTGAACATGGTGCTCTGTTACACAGCTTTGCATTCTTGTCTTCTTTAGACATGAATATTAGTTCACTCTTTAAATTTTCTACTTTACTTATGCACAACACTAACACTCATAAAGTTTTCACCATAACTTGGCTCATTCTCTGGTGAATTTCAGCTGCATTAGTCCTTTCTACTTGAAGAAAGCAAGTAACACTATGTAACTCGCACTTGGAGGGAGCATCGGTTGCACCAGCCATGTTCATGAACAGCTCAAACTTGTGAGCTGGCATTGGTACTTGCAGAGGTTCTGGTTAGAGATAGGCATAGCTATCCACGGAGCATCCATACCTTCTACCACTTGTCTATCTGTTATGCAGCTCACAGGTTCAAAAAAAAAAAAAAAAAAAAAGTTCCTTGTGTATACATAACATTCAAAAATAAAGATTCATAGCCTGCAAACATTTTACACTTTACAGCTGGATAATAACTTCTATTTTTTTACTGTGACAACAAAAATTTACCTGTTGAGCCAATTCTCTTGTTGGTGCAAGAATAAGTGCTTGACATTCTCTATGATTTGTGTCAATTTTCTGCAAAATGGCAATTGAAAATGTAGCTGTTTTGCCAGTACCTGACTGAGCTTGGGCAATAACGTCTAAGCCTAAAAGTTAAGAAAAAAAGCAGCATGTAAATTTTATAACAGGTGTACAAATATTACTAATTCTAAACATGTTAAAATTAGTACACTAGTAGTTTATTGAATAATATGCAAAAATTTCAGAGAAAGAAATTTTGGTGGTGTCCCAACTGACGATCTACTGAATTTCTTTAATTAGTTCAACAGTTTTATACTAGATGGTGCTACCTCTTTTTCAGATTATTTTGTTTGTAAAAGCAATGTTTATGCTTATCGCTTCTTTCACATGCAATTTTTTCATTGAATTTATGAAGAGCTTTTAAAATGCTCTTTTTAAATCTTTGTTATCAATTTACTCTCAAATAAAAATATATTTTTCTCACATTTATATTACAAAGAGTTGAAGTAAGAAGCAAATGAAATAACTATTATCTTAAGAGGCAACAGTTTTTAATTTATATCTCTTAAATTCATTCTCTCTCTTTTTTTTAACCTCTACTTACAACAAATTGTTCATAAATAGGTTCTGAAACAACTAAACATAACACTACAAAATAGAGTGCATTTTGTCTTGCATCTTACCTATTTCATTCACAATATGTGTGAAGTTCTTGATATAATCTATATCCATAACACCTAAGGGCTCACTTTTAGTTACATTAATATTGAGTAATTCATTGAAATATTTAAAACAGCTAATGCTGACTTCTTGCAAGCATTAGCTGGAACAGCTTGACTTCTGAATCAGCTAATCTAATTTTAAAAAATAATATTTCATCCTTTTATTCGTACACTGAAAATTTTCTTATATGCAGATTTATTCATATTTTGTAAAACGTAAAAATTATTAATATTAAATAATAATAAATCTGATCATACAAATTTGAATTAACAGGCAGAAGTTAAAAATGTGTAAAAACAACAATTTTTGTGATGCCACAAATTGATCCATAAAATAACTACACAGTTACATAAAGGCCAGTTTACAAGTGTCCGAGCGACCCGCAGCGGGCCCCTCGTCCGAGTGTCACAAAGAGTGAACGGACCTGCACTCTGATAGATTGTTTACACCAATCAGAACGGACTGACAACTCGCCTCCGCTTGTTTGCAAAATCGCGGAAAAAAAGAAAAAAGAACAAGAATAGAAAAAGCATGACTGTGTAGCTTGCCATGATGAATTGGGAGCATTAAATCAACTTTTAAATCAATTTCAGGGCGAGGATATCCAAAGTTACAAAAACTTTATCAGAATAGGTGAAGGATAATTTGAAACTTTATTGGAAATGGTCATTCCACTTAGTAGAAAATATGCATACACAGTACAAAGTCCGAAATCCAGACTCATAAGGACTTCGACCATTCTGGATTTTGGATTTTTCCGGATATTAGATCATCAGTTTAAATCTAATAAGATGGCATGCAGAAACTATAAAATTAAAATTATTATATTTATGAAATAATGAAGTATTTATGACCTAAAGCAGCGTTTTCCAAACTGGGAGGCGTGGACTAGTCTAAGGGGAGGCGTGAATATTAGCCAGGATTGGTGCACGTGCAGATAATACAATACGTAACATATAGATACATATTAACTACTATGCTGCTTGGCCGACCAGTAACTCTCTAAAAAATTGAGACAGTATCGACTTCAGTTTAGCTCAGCAGTGTTAGATTGTGTTTCTTATTTTATTTTGACGTACCTAATTATTTACTGATCACAATAGTAAGTAATTTAATTAAGTTTAATTTTTTTAAGAAAAATTAATTAATTATCCTAATATTTTTAGAGAAATGGATAAGTTCTTGACTGGTTATAAGAGAAAATCTTCTAATAATGAAGAATCTGATGTTGGCACAAGTAGTAGGAATCAGGAAGGAAGAACTCCCAAGACAAGAAAATATGATTCGTCTTATTTATCATTCGGATTTACAAGTGTTATTACTGATAATGTGAAAAAACCAATGTGTTTGTTTTGTTCGAAAGTTTTGGCTGCTGATAGTATGAGAAGCGGAAAATTAAAACGCCACATTGAAACTATTCAATCTCAGTACATTGGCAAGTCCTAAGAATTTTTTCAAAGAAAATTGGATGAGTGCACTAAACAAAAGGAAGCGTTAAAAAAAACAGTTCATATTCCATCAAATACGTTACTAGCATCATACTTAGTATCTTACAGAATCGCGAAGTATAAAAAACCACACACATTAGGAGAAACATTAGTTTTGCCAGCAGCTATTGATAAGGTCAAACAATGTTTGGCGAATCATATGCAAAACAGTTGCGACAAATACCGCTTGCTGATAACACTGTTGGCAGAAGAATCGATGATATATTTGACGATCTTCACGACCTATTAGTTTCTTAGATGCGCACTTCAAAATTCACCTTACAAGTAGATGAAGCAACTGATGTAGCTTAAGACTCACATTTAATTGCATAAGTTCGATATGCTGAAGAGAATAATATAATTGAAGATATATTGTTTTGCAAACCCATTCCTAGCAAAGCCACATCCAGTGAAATTTTTAATATAATCGACAATTTTTTTGATGAGAACGGCACATTGTGGAATAATTGCATTGGGCTTTGTACAGACGGTGCACAGTCAATGTCAGGACACAATACTGGCCTTCAAGCACTAATTAAAGGAAAACACCGAATGTTCTCTGGACACACTGCATGCTCCACAGAGTAGCCTCATATAAAAAAATATCACAATTATTTATACATAAAAAACAGTCCATTATAAAGCTGCCATTTGCAATATCTTTTTTACGCGCAACAGGATAAATTATTGCACAACAGGTTTCGATTTATTGCAGCTAATGCAGAAAGCATTAGCTGCTATAAAATCAAAATATCGTGCTCGTTTGGTTGTAGAAAAGGACCTTCCCGTAGCTATCTCATCAATGACACCGAGATTTGATAAACTTTGCACTAATAGGCAAGCAAATCCATCTCATTAAGCGACAATAATAAAATATTGTTGTTCGTTTTTTCTTGTGTATAAGAGTCTTCCTTAATAAATTTCTTAGTACTAGAAATTTTTGTGTTAGTATTTTATAAAATGGAAGAGAGGCGCCATATGATCAAACATTTTTAAGGGAGCCGTGATAAAATAAAGTTTGGAAACCACTGATCTAAAGGGTATCAAAATTTACAAATAAAAGCTTAATATTTATTTGTTTACCTTATTAAACATTTCTTTCAACATAAGTTGTTTAAGTTGCTCTGTTTTTTGTGCTAATACATTCTCTTTAATTCTGTAGACAGACATAATCTCATGCTCAGTTACATTCTTGAAGTCTCGTAACGTCTGTTTCGAGAATTCCGACTAACTTGTCAATCAAAATTCTCGTTTTCAGTTAACTTCTCTGTCACTTTCTTCACTATCGGTAGTGGTATTTTCTGGATCTAGAACCATACCACAGATTTTGCCATTCATTAATTGATTGATGATTGAAAAGCATTGTCATCACAATGAAAAACTTCTTTTATATCATCTTCATTTATTACTGCTTCTCCACATTTCTTTACAAAATCCACAAAGTGGAAAATTTCACCTTTGTTTAGCAATATCCGAAAACTTTTCAAATTAGCGGCTATCATCATCAAATTTAGCTATTCTTCACCATACATATTTTGCTATGCATCATGAGTTTGGCGACTAACGACAAGTTGTTCCATTAAATTTTATCTTGCTTTTATCGCACATTGAGACGATTAAGGCTGAATGGTATTAGTTTAGTTATTTATTATACTTATGTCTATTTCTTGCACATGCTTAAGGCTTATCAGAGTTCTGAATAAATCTATACCCACCATATAATTATTGAGGGCTGGCGCTACATATCTCATCGCCTGATGCAGTCTCCTTTATTCCTGTTGGCTTTAGTTTTCCACATGCAAATTTTGATCGGAGGTAAGCTAACGTGGTTGCCGCTGATTGGCCGATGACGTCAAGATCGGCGGGTTGGCCGAGTATTATATATATGTACGTCGGTATCGGCGAATGTTCTTGTTCTCTTGGTATTATGAGTTAGCATTATGCTAGTTTTCTTTCAGTCAAATGATTTTTAAATGTAAAGGCTACAGTGTTAGCTTATTTTATTTACGGAATAAAGCATGAATTTTATTTAGATTAGTGCTGGCTTTATTTAAGGGAAGCAAAATATGCTTTGCCTTTATCACCACTGCCAACAATTCCTATATTCTGCGACTCTGTGCGGACATACGAGAGCCCTGGCGCTGCTTCTGGGTTTACGTGAATAACAAATCAGTTATTCTTAATTCAAATAGCCCTAAATGTAATCTTTGAGTTAACGAGTTTCATCAACAAAACCTATTTTTAGCATAGGGAAAAAATTTTTGGTAAATTTTTCCTCGTCAACATTTTTTTAGTATATTTAGCTTAAATCTATAATTATCGCTAAGCATAATGTCAACATAAAAGATTGCCATACTCCTTTATTATTTAATTACATACATAAAAATAATTGTTTAGGCATTGCTACACGAGTCATTACTCAAATTGTCATGTTTTCATAAACATGCGGTGACCAAAGGAAAGTATAATAAATAATGAGTCGCCAGGATGGCGTCAGATCAACGATGTATCTAGGTGGAATGTTTTGGTTTGGGATTTGAGCCAAAAAGCAGATACGCAGTCATGGAGCCAAATTACTGATGGCACAAATTTATGCTAAATTTTTGTTTCTTCAATAACAAGTTACTTTATTTAGTGTCTAAATGAAATTAAGAATCGGTACTCTCCAAATGTTTTATTATGTGTGAAAGGGAGAAACAAATGCACATGCGTAAAGCCTAGGAGAAAAACTTTGGTGGTTTTGAGGTCCGGATTTTAGATCATTCTGAAGAACGGACGTCCGGATTTTGGACTTTGTACTGTATTAACACTCTCTTTTAAAAATTGTGTATTTTTAGTAATGTATTGGTTTGGTGCATAAGTCCGCGCTATTCTTCGATGGGTTGTCGTTTTTATCATCTTATGATTTTGTTAGTATAAAATGCACAACACAACAATGCAATACATGCCATAAATCAATAAATATTAATTTATTCATTCACTCCATTATGTAATCACGATCTTTGTCAATGATTGCCTGCAAGCATTCAGGAAGGAGTTCAATGCCTCTCTTGTAGAACTGTTGTGGTTTTGATTTGAAGAAATCTGCTAGCCAATTGCTAAACGAAGCTTCATCATGAAACTCTTATACCAGAATGTTGTTAGAGAGAGAAACATGAACAGATGGTAATCAGAGGGGGCAATAAATGCACCGGAAGTATTCATTGTATCTACTTGACACTCCATACTGATTAGCCTTGAAAAAGGTCAAAATAAGCTGTAAACAACATACAAGTTCCTGTTTGCAATAATTAAACTTTTAAACTGAAGAGAATAACTGAATAATGAAAAAACAAGACTTCATGAAGCAGCGCTGCCAATTCAACAAAGAATGGCATGGACTTAGTCAGTATTTCACAGAACCTAGCCAGTATTTCACATTTTTAATTTGTATATCATTAATTGTGTACTTGTGTGTAATTAATTGCTTAATTATATTTATTATCTTAAATTCTATAGAAAAACCACACGAATTTTGTGAAGAGCAGAGAATTTTGTCACACAAAATCAAGAGATGTTGCCGGTTAAAGTCTACCAGACCTTGATAACATTTCACAATGTTTCAGAAACATAATTTGTAAGTGATATTAGCATTCTGAGGGGATATTAGGCAAAAAAATCCATACCTTCTTTCAAACAAGAGAAGGTTTTAAAAGAAAGACCAGCAGAAATCAAAAAACATATTCAGAGTCCAAGTTATGGTTAAGAGGAATAAATGCAGTATATTACGTTAAGAGGAATAAATACAGTAAGACCAGCATAAAACTTCTAAATTTATTCATAACTGAACTGCCAATTTCTGAATTATTTTCAAATCGTTATATAGTCTTTTCATATTTTTATATTTGTACCTTTTTATATTAAAAAATAAATAAAAGGACATACATTCTTAAAAGTAAAACACATTTTATTTTACAAGCAAAGGTCCAGTTTTATCAAACAACAAGACAAAATATTTTTGTACAAAACGAGAAGTATATTAACACATTTACATTAGTACAATTTCTGATTTATATTCCAGCATATCTTAATTCATAGAATTTTGAATCGTCATATTTCCTTTTCAGTTTATATGTCACAAGTAAATACTTCTTTACCTTAATAATCTAATTTTACTTTACATAATGTGTGAATAAATGATGAGTTATTTTTTATAATTAAGAAAAGTCAATTCTGATTGACCTGCTGATTTCGCAGTGAAAAATGCAAGTTTACTTTAAATTTGACGCTTTATGCTGAAATCTGGAAAATAAACAGTAAGTTTTTTTTAACGTTTCTATTTGTATGCAATATGAAAGTTATGTTTAGACATAAAGTAAGAAATTTAGAACCAATTTTTCACAAAGACCAAAAACTGAAATTCATACGTAATACATTTCAAATAATCCTAACTGCAAATCCTTGGATTATGTGCTCCTTGTTTAAAGGTAAAATTTAGATTTGAATTTTTCACTGAAGTACTTTATTATTTCACTTATATTTTCAATTCTTTGAACAGAATTCTTTTTTTAAGGTACAAGATTGTAATTAGAATTTACTTTGTTTTTTCCTTGCTTTGGGAAAGGACCAGAATTTTTGGGTGAACTATTATATAATTAAATCATTAGCTAGTTCTGGATACAGAAGAGGAAAGATTTTTGTGGAAGAGAGATTTCAATGTTCCTCCTCCTGACGAAGTGGCATTGAAGTTGACCAAATTCTTCTATTATATTCATTTTTCTTTAAATTTCATTGATTTTTTTAATTAGGGTATTGCTTGTTTGAAGAGTTTTGGATATATATACTGTTATAAGAAAAGTAATGAAACAGAGCACAGGTCATAAATGAAATTATGCCAATATTTTATTGATGCAATTTATAATATAAGAAAAATTTCTAATAATTAGATAAGTAATTTGTTAATAACAGAGCTTACCTCTTATACAAGGAATAATAGCTCTTTGTTGGATTGCAGATGGCTTTTCAAAACCATAGGCATAAATACCACGCAGCAATTCTTCACGTAAGTTCATATCATCAAAATTATCCACAACATATTCCCAATTACTCTGCAATTAAAAATTATAAATAGAGTTTCAAACTGCCTTATTGTTGTGTAAAAGTACTACATTTAATATAATGCAAAATTAATTTTTGTATGGTCTACCTCAATGATACCATCTGGTTCCATCCCAGGTGGTCCATCATATTCTCGATCAGGGCCTCGCCCCAAGGACTGTTCATCATCAGGTCCATTTCTTGAAAAAATAAAAAATAAATTAAAAAATTCAACAACAAAAGAACTTTAAAAATATTTTAGTGAATCACAAAATTAAAGAGCACTATCTACCCTAAAACATTTCAAAAGTTTATTAGATATCTCCCCGTTAAATAACCACCATGCTTAGTCATCCAAACTGAAAAATTTAACTGCCCAATTTGTAATACAGTGGAACCTCAAGAGGCGAGTTTAATTTGTTCCAGCAATGAGCTTGTATAGCAAATTTCTCATATCTAGAAACAAACTTCCCCATTGAAAATAATGTAAATTCAGTTATCGGTTCCGTAACCCTAAAAATCTCATTGCCATCTCATATTCAGTCGATGTAGTTGGTGTTTTTCAGAAAAGGTCCCAATACAGATTTTTAGCCTTAGCGCAAATGATAGCTTCTGACCCCAAATCACCTTTTAAATGCTTCTCATTAATCCACACAAATAACAGCTTCTAGGAGTTTTGGATGGTCCTTGGATGTAACGGTAACTCCTGTGGCCACATCAAATTTCTTAATGACTTCCTTCTTCTTCAGGAATAGTGCAGATTGTCGATGATGAACAGCCGTCAGTCTTCGCCAATTCTGTCACTCTTACACCATGCATATGTTTATCTAAGATTTCTTTCTTAATTTCAATGGCCATGGCTTCCTTCTTTTTCTTTGCAGCACTATCTGAGGCATCAATCTTCTTGGGATGTATCGTAAAATAATTATTTTCACATTAAAAGTAGAAAACAATTAACTTGCCCACAAACATGTAGATCAAAGTACACTGAGTGATCTGACGAGGGGATCCACCTAGAGGCAAGCCGGATCAGGAAACGTGCCATGCATACCAAGAGAGTGACTCGTTGCTCGAATTAGTGCTCGCATTTAAAGATGAATTTTTCACTCATGCTTTCCTCACATATCGAATTTTTCTTATATAGAAGTGCTCGTATCTCGAAGTCCCACTGTATGTCAATTTCAAATCTTGCCAAATTTTTTCATGGTGGCTGCTTTTCCAAAAAAGTACCATTTTTTTTATATGATAATAATTCAGTGGCTGCTATCTTCTCATTACAGCAGCTACCATATTGACTTTGGCAAACAAGTCCGAAAATCAAATAGGTTACATACTTTAAATTTGGTGATCACAATAGCCAATTAACAAAGGCAGCCACTTTGATAAGGAATTTCGGTTAGCATATATTTAAGGGTACCCCTTGGATTATCACTAAGTTGTTGTTTCATTCAGAGGCGTAGCTAGTTTCCAGCGCCCGGGGACAACTGAAGAATTTGTACCCCTTTCTGTGTGCCAAGAATGGAAAACATTTCATTAAAACATTCGTAGCATCAATTTGGCGCCCCTTGGATGCTGCGCCCGGGGACAGATGTCCCCTCTTGCCCCACCCTAGCTACGCCACTGGTTTCATTTATGGTAACCTGAGTAGTTGAATGTTATGAAAAATCCTATTATAACATAATTGTTTGCATGATTGCAGTGAATTTGACTGATGGGAAACGGTTTGTAAGATGTGTACTGTGTGCTTTGCATTGTGAAATGGCTGCTGATGGTAAACTGGGTGTTTTGTAGTATAAAAGGAGAGAGAGGAATTTTTTTTTTTTTTTTTTTTTTTTTTTTTTTTGTTGGTTGTGTGGTTGAAGACAGAAGAAGAAAAACTTTCTTGGATGTAATTCAAAGGAATTATAAGTGTCCTGTTTGTATGAAGGAAATGCGTACAGTCGAACGTAAAGCTCGCTCAGATGGCTTTGAATGGGTCTGTCACAAAGGTTCAAATGCTCACCATATAAATCCTTCCATTAGAAAGGGAACATAGTTTGAGGAAACATTTTGGATGCTGTTAAGGAACTTTCTGTTCCACAGACTAAAGATGCAGAAATTTTTAAATAAGGTTAAGTGGATATTTCCTTTGTGTAGTGCTTAGATGCTATAATGTTATTTCATTGTTTGATTTAAAATGTAGTTTATTGAGATATGTATTTTTTGTTTGGCTCTAGTGCAGATTTGGGTGCTCCTTTGACTTTTTAACTGAAAATAGATTGAGGTGTACATGGACAAGTAATGCGAGTCAAGGCAGTGTGTAATGCCTAGTTTGTGCAATTCTCTGTTTTTTTTTTATTATTATTACTATTTATTTTATTTTATTTTATTTATTTTTTTAAAGGAAATAGGTTGATATGTACATGGATACCAAGTTTGTGCATTTGTGCAATTCTTTGACTTGATGTTTTAGCTTTGTGTACTGGCGATTTTTGGCACAAAAAGCGGCACTACACACAGCCAAAATAACAAGTCAAAGAATTTCACAAACTCGGTGCCCAAGTACAGGCAAAAATTGCGAATTTTTGCCAAGGGGCACCCGTAAATATTTTTACCAGGATATTCTTACACCATCAAAAAAAAAAAAAAAAAAAAGTAATCAGTTGGAACAAGATACAGACTATAATGAGAAAATTTTACAAACATTGCGGCTTGACACGCTTAATCCATTCACAAGATTTTTTGTTCACTTAATATATATATATATTATTATTAGCTATTAATTTTAGATATTTTGCCTTTACTTTCTATAATTATGTAAATGTCATCTCGATGATTGCAAATTTATGAAAATAGAGACTGCAACAAGTAATTATACAAATTTAGCTATTAAATGCTGTTTAAATACAGATTTTCATGACAGATCCAAGAAAACCAGGATCGCTTAGAGGGTTAACTCTACAGCATGCCTTGGACAATATTTCATACTACGAATTTGTCAATTAAGTTTCCCAATGTCACATTTCACTGCTTAACCTTGGCAGCCATTTTAATGAAGAATAATAAAAGACTAATATAGTTAAAACAAATACAGTTTGTAATGAGAAACATTACAATTATTATTAAGAGATATATTAAATCTTAATCACCAAACTAATTTAAAATTTGCACATTATAAATTTGGCAACTAATCTTAATGGCACTTTAATAAAGAAGTACAAGAAATCTTAACATTTATGATTTTATGCCAATACACTTTCCCTTCTCCCTGAATGAACACAACAAAGAATTACACTGCAAGTGTCAATATTTGCAAATGACACAAAAAACTGCCCATACCTACATTTAGTAATACTGAATTTTTTTCTATAAAATGCATAGATATAAATCCTTTAAAAAAAACTCATTTTTATCCCCACAAACTCTTACTCCACAGCTTAAAAAGTGTGATACATTTTTCAGAATAAATTAAATATCAAGAAATTGACTTTTTAAATACCAAGCTCATTCATCAAAATACTATAATGCAAGTATTTGTGCCAGGTTGCAACAATTTCCTTCTCCCTTTCCACTAATCCAACAAAGAAATGCAAGATATTCAAATAATATCCCCCTTTGTTTCTTGTAAATAAGCCTCCCCTCATACCAAGAACCATGGAAATGATACTGTTCTGTTAAAATGGGTGCATGTATGTATGGATATATGTGTTCAAGTATGCATATACAGTCAAAAGTCGTTAATTCGCACACCCATAATCCGGACCTCAAAGCTAAAAACTTTCTGCGCATGCGCCGCGTTGACACATGCGCATAGGCGTTTACGCTTGCGCATAAGACCTTTTTGTTGGCTTTAGTTTTCCACACGCAAATTTTGATCGGAGGTCGATCGGCGGTAAGCTAACGTGGTTGCAGCTGATTGGCCGATGACGTCAAGATCGGTGGGTTGGCCGAAGTATAATATATATGTACGCCGGTATCGGCGAAGCTTCTTGTTCTTGTTCTCTTGTGTGATTATCAGTTAGCATTATGCTAGTTTGCTTTCAATCAAATGATTTTAAATGTAAAGGCTACAGTGTTAGCTCTTTTATTTTATTTACGGAATAAAGCATGAATTTTATTTAGTCTTAGCTTTATTTAAGGAAAGCAAAATATGCTTTGCCTTTTATCACCACTGCCAACACTTTTATTACTGCGCATATGCGTTTGCGCAAGCGCAGAATACGTTTTTGCGTGCACGTTTTATGTATAACGGACGGTATAATCTAAAATTATCTAATTATCTATTTCAGTTAATGTTGATGATTGCGTTGTTCCTTAATCTTCGAATTGGATCCGGTTTATTATTTTTTGCAGACTGTAAGAGCAATTTTATAAAAGTAAACTTGAACTTTCGATTATGTCAAATAGAACTTCCGTTTCTGGAGCTCCCAAAGGATCATACAAAATGAAAGTATGTGTCTATGTCCATCAAACAAAAAGTGGAATTGCTGCAAAAAATGGATAAAGACATGAAGAATGTGACAGAGAGGTTAGTGAAAACGAAAAAATTTCGATTGACAAGTTAATCGGTATTCTCCGCACAGCAATTACAGGACTTGAACAGCGGAACTTTGTAACTGAACAAGAAATTGTGTCTGCTTATAGAATTAAAGAGAAAGTATTATCACATAAAACTAAGCAACCTAAAACAACTTGCATTGAAATAAATGTTTAATAAAGTAAACAAATAAATATTAAGCTTTTTTTTGTAAATTTTGATACCCTTTAGATTATAATTATTCTTTATTTCATAAATTAAGGTTTCATATTTTTAATTTTAGAATTTCTGCATGCCATCTTGCGAGATTTAAACCGATGATCTATAATCCGGAAAAATAGATAATCCGGAATCGCCGAAGTCCCGACGAGTCCGGATTAACGACTTTTGACTATATAAGTAAATACATATACAGTAGAAAGTCTTTAATCCGGACGTCCACAATCCAGAATTATCTATAATCCGGACCTCAAAGCTACAAATTTTCTGCACATGTGTAAACGCATACTGCATTTACACATGCACATAATACTGCATGCATGTTTAATGTATAACGGACAGCATAAGCTAGGCTAAAATTATCTATTTCAGTTCATGATGCAGATTGCATTGATCCTTAATCTTTTAACTGGATCTGGCTTATTATTTTTTGCAGACAGTTAGAGCAATTTTATAAAAAGTAAGCTTGAACTTATTATGTCAGAAAGAGTTTTCGATTCTGGAGCTGCCAAAGGATCTACAAAGCGAAAGCATGTTTCGATGCCCATCAAATAAAAAGTGGAATTGCTGCAAAAAATGGATAAAGGCATGAAGAAAGTTACGAAAAAATTTCAATTGACAAGTTAGTTGGTATTCTCCGCACAGCAATTACAGGACTTGAACAGCGGAACTTTGTAACTGAACAAGAAATTATGTCTGTTCATAGAATTAAAGAGAAAGTATTAGCACATAAAACGAAGCAACTTGAACAACTTACATTGAAAGAAATGTTTAATAAAATAAACAAATAAATATTAAGCTTTTTTTTTTTTTTTTTTTTTTTTTTTTTTTTGTAAATTTTGATACCCTTTAGATCATAATTGCTCTTTATTTCATAAATTACGGTTTCATATTTTTAATTTTAAAATTTCTGCATGCCATCTTACCAGATTTAAATTCATGATCTATAATCCGGAAAAGCCGAAGTCCCGATGAGTCCAGATTAAAGACTTTGTACTGTATATGTTTGTGTGTATACACACACACATATATATGCACATACATATTTTATTTTTATTACTGTTATTGTCATCTAAAATATTTTGCTGCAAAATCGCTAAAGGAAACATGAATCTAAACGCCATGCAATTTGCAGCAGAATGAAACAGAAAAAAACTAACTTGTAAAAAGGTTTATTGGTTAATCTTCGGATTATGGTAACTTGGGGATTTTTTGGTGAAAATTTGGCGACCAACCCTGCTACTGCAACCTGCTAGTTTTTTTTTTTTTTTTTTGAGACCATTTTGTTTTCACGAAGTAAAGGCTTTTTTTTTCCTTAACATTTTTTCCAACAATCTGCTAGCCGAATTATGCTTTGCTAGCACTTTTATGGTGTTGGAACTTTTCATAGGATAGAGGGCGCTGTTGCGCCAAAGGAATTCTGTTTTTTTTTTTTACATTATGTAACTGTGGTTCGCCATTGCAATGTATGTGTATTGCTGTGATATATTTTGGTGCTTTTCATTAAATATAAATGAAAGATATCGTCATGAATTTTTTGTATCCAAATCAAGATCAAATTTACCACTGATGCAAACTCGTTTAAACAAAATTAGCGTTCGAACAAGAATCGTCAAGTTATTACTAGCCTTTCGAACTACGCATTAGTATTGTTAATCGCTTCGTAACATATGGAACAAAAGTGCTTAATCATGATGAAGGTTAGATGCGAAATTGGGAGAAAGTGCAGAATCGCCCACTGCTTGTCGCATTTTTAAGAATTGCATATACACGGTATCCATGTACACGTCGACCTATTTTCACTTAAAAAAAATCCCAGAATTGCACAAAAGTGGCATTGTGCACACAGAGGCGTAGCTAGGGTTTTCAGCCCCCGGGGACAACTGAAGTTTTTGCGCCCCTTTCTGTGTGCCACGAATGGAAAACACTTCATTCTAAAATTTCGTACCATCAATATGGCACCCCTGGATGCTGCGCCCGGGGACAGATGTCCCCCTTTGCCCCACCCTAGCTACGCCACTGTGTGCACACTCTTGACTTTATCCATGTACACTGCTATAGTCCTAGCTAGTAACCTTTATCATCTTACCAAAATGTGGCCAAACTACCTGTTACCATATTCCAAAGATTAGCCGGTTTATTGATTGATTTTTCAGGATAAATACCTAATTAAAATATAAAATAATATTCAGGATAAATACCTTCTTTTTCTTCAGTAAAATATCACCAAAGTGCACAACTCTAGAAACCTAACTATTAAGGAAATTAGAACCAACTGCACATTACATATTTACATCTTTTACAAGAAGTGTAGAAGATGGTCTATCCCAATCCTGAAAAACTAGCCAGCTGGCTGTAAGAACCATGAAATCAAATAAAAATATTTGAAGAATCAGACTGAAAATCATCTATTCTTTCAGCAAACACTTTTAAATGCATTTTTGCTTTTATAATTTCAGCAATGAAAATACATAATCCAAAACAGCAAACTCATACATGCACATACCATATACACACTTGAGCACCGTATGGATTAGCACCTTTATATTTAACCATCATTTTACTGATCAGTGTTTTAGTTACCTCAAGTGCTTTTTGAGGGGAAGAGGAATTAAACTGTATTGGGATTGCGGAGTTTATAAATTGCTTCTTATTAATAAAGTAATACTTATTAGCCATAAAGATAGTTAAAATTTTAGTCACCACTGAGTTAACAACTTTTCATGGAGGTAGGAATAGTGAGCAAATACTAAGAATGTTTTCATGGAAGTCTGCAAAGAAAACTTTCTCATTCCATAACCCATCTTATTCAGTTGCTGGAAACTGAGCCTAGTATAAACTATTACATCCAGTAGTTTTATAACTAATTAGATGTCAGATGGTTTATAACTATTCAGCAAAATGCCTTCACAAAAATAGCAAATGTAGTCTAACTTGAACAGTATTATGACAAGAATTTAGAAGCAATTTTTGAAAAAGTTTATACCTAATATCAAGTAATAATGATTTTAATTTAAAAATATTTACCAAATGCATAAATTTCTTCTTTGCAAAAATTTAATGCAAATAATAATTACCATAAAAATTTTAACTTAAATGTATTAACCTTTTAAGTATATTTTCACCGCAACGCAAATTAAATTTTCAGCAATTTATTTAACAATATGTAAACTGTTAGATTTCAAATGCATAGCTTATAAACAATATGCTTTTCTTTTATTTTGAATAATTCTAAGTGATTCTCAGCTTAAGTTGCAATTCAAAGTATTATATATGAACTTTTCTAATAAAATTCAACAAGATAAAAATGTCAACATAAATACTATGTGCATTAAAAGGAAGCCCCATGAAAAATGAATCCCATGTAATAGTTCACTACAAATTTATTTTATAAAGTTGTATATTAAATTGCATTCACTCATATTATATAAAAGTTCATATTTAAAAACAGATGTTATTTAAAACAAATATTGATTTAGTAAAATTTCAAAAGAAGACATATTTATAATAATGTAGTAATGCAATGTCAAGTACCGGAAATTTATATTTGCAAAGTAAAACTTCCAAGATTTAATACCTGTAAGTGAAAACAGAAAAAAAAAGTTTTATATTATTTCATCGTCACATATGATGTTGATAAGTAATGTGAGACGATACCAGATGGAAATTATAACTATACCTTGAATCGTCGTATGCGTGAGACATATTCCCGTAAGTTAGGAATCTTGGCGTTGATAAAAGCAAACTTTTATAATAACACTACGTTTATCTTTTTGATGATTATGCAGCTGTGGCACGTGAACTTGTATGCTGCGCTTCGAAATTATCAGAGAATATAGTACAAAATTAATAGGATGCGTTTAATATCAACTACCGAAAACTTTACTAACGTATTTTCTACACTTTTTCGCAGACAATTCCTCGAAAATATTTCCGACGGAACAAACAACAGCTTCGCGCAATAGCGGCCTCTAGCGACTACTATATCTACCAACTGTTTTTTTTTTTTTTTTTTTATTATTAATTTAGAAAGCTGTAATCAAGAATTGCATCAAGAGTTTTAACAAACTTTTATGACAATCATTTATAAGTTTAACAATTTTTTAATTATTAATTGCTGCCAAAGAACTATTAAGTTTACTGCCAGAATTTTTTTAACTTACTCATAGCAAAATGTAAAATAATCGTTGTAAGATTGTAAAATAATCTCTTTTTTTTTTTTTTCATTACTGCAAATTATTTATTTCGTCTTATTATTTATGAATATTTTACATAATATTAATATGAACACATATTTAAATGACACTTTAAACATAGTTTAGCAGCCGAATTTGTGTTATGCATATTTAAAGAATGGCAATACGAAAATTCTCTTTTTGCCGAACATGGTATGACAACTCATCGTTTGTCTTGATCTTCCAACATATTAATGTGTTTAGAAATTTTATAAATTAAAATTCAACGTAATAATTCCCCCAACAAATAAGGTAAAGTATATTTTACGTATTGTGATTTTTATATTATGTACAGTTTTACTATTTTGTCATTATTTGCAACAGGTGATAACATATGATGTTGACATAACAGATTTACGTAAATAATACTGCGATCTTCCTTCTTTTATAGCATATTACCCTTATGGCATAGAAGCTTTTGATAGATCTCTGACATGTTATTTTTATAGCAAAATTTCCATATTCTTTTCATTACTTTTAAAGTATATTATTTTTATATAAACAGTTTTTGCTATTACTTCGTAATATTAGTAACTTTTAATTTAAATTGGGAATCTGACAAAAAGAATCATGTTATAAATTGTCTTGATAACATACTTGTTTATATTATATCTATATATATGTGTGTGTGTGTGTTTTAAATTAAAATTTTTCTTTCTGACAGCCAGACATTTTCGTAACTTAATTGCGTTAATGGTGTTATTATTAAAGGAATAACCTTTCCTTTTATATGTTTTCACCCATCATTTTAAGCAATTATAACATTCTTAATTTTTTTTTCAAAATGCTCAAAAGTTAGTCTGCATATTAGTTTGTTTTGTTTAATTTATAATATTTATACATTCTCCATCTGGTTTTAAATTTAAGGTGGATAACATGTTTGGAGGGCACAAAATGTATATACATAATTCTGACTTTGGCTAATCTTCTGGTAGCCAATGCATCATGAAAAGTATCCTTTGTGAATGATTTTTGCTGCTACTTGGCAAACCTATATACCATTCTGACTTTGGCTAATCTTCAGGTGCCTGATACATCATGAAAAATTTCATCTGTAACTCTGATTATTGCAGTTATTTACCAACCATAGCTACCATTCTGAATTCTTCTACAAAGATAAAATTTTTAACTTATGTCAAGATTAGCGAGATAGTGGAATAAAGGCAACATTACTCAAAATTCTTATGGAGCTAAAGATAAACTGCAGAAAATGAAGATCTGTTTAATGCCATTTTGAATGCAACCACCAAACAATATCCACTGGGAATCAAGAACCATATTATAATATTGAAAGGGCTAATAGATTGTTTGCAGTGCAGTAACGAATATTAGATAATTAATCAGTACCATGTGTTTTTAGCCACTAGTAGATGAATGAACTTTTATTGAGTATTGTAATTATAAATTAACAAAGCTTTCTTGCTTCCAGGAAAAAAATATCCTGAGCAACACAAAGTGAAATTAACTCGTAACAGATGTTGCTTAGATGAAGCATTGATATAATTATGCCTTTCAAAAAGATTTATAGTTGTTCCCAGATGAAAGATAATTTAGTTTATGATAAACCAGAATGTTATTGGAGAAAGTATCATGCATATTTTCTCAAAGTGATGAAGTTGCTGTATTGCAAAACGGTATTAACAATAAAGTGACATCTGTGGAAACAGTAACTGATGAGCTTACGAGTGGGACAATTATGCAAATCTGTATGATAAAAATGAGAATATCATAAAATATAATAAATGCCAGTGTCAAAAGAGATAAAAGTATGGTATTTACTTATTACCCACACACACATACTCCACCTAAGTCATGAACTCATTGCCAACTTTGAAGACAAATGTGTTTAAGTGTTTTTACATCTATTTAAATGATACAGCAATTGCCATCTACATTATTGCATTCACTTTAAGATTTGTATGAAGTGTGAATATGCTGTTGATAAATGATTGTTATTATATGAAAAAGAAACAAGAAATGATTGGTAATCATTCTTGGGAGCTGTTAAATATTAAGATGTAGAATTAGATCCAACCAAAGAAAGCTGCAAATAGTGGCTTCATTGTAGTATGCAGTAATTGAATTATAGAAGGCATATAGGCATGTGGATTATAGTCATTTTTCTTAGTGATGTGTGAAAGATCTTTAATTTGAAATCAGTATAGAAAATAATAGATCAGTGGATGTTTCATTTTCCTAGCTAATAGAAGTGTACTTGAAATAACAATAGTTATTATTAATGAATGACATTTCTTATGTAGAAAGGGATGAATTTCCCGCCTCTCAGACTCTAAATCATTCATCAAATCTGGTAAATCCAACAAATATTGTGCATTCATAATCTGTTGAATCTAATTAGCAGGCCTTTAAAAATGAAATTGAAAAGCATGAACATTAGTTGGAAGGTAAGGTGGCTTAGCTAGGTACTTCACATGGAAGAGGTAAAATGCTGTTTTATATACAAGTGTACTTTTACCATTTATATCTTGAAGATCTGTATTGATAAAAGATAATTAAATTCTTTAAATATCATGTAGCTTGAAGTAAAACTAAGTAAATTTATTTTCTTTAATTATGGCTTGGAAAGATAGTTTCCATTTTTAAATTATTCATTTAAAAATCTGCTCTCTGTAAAAAATAATATAAAGGATGTTAAGTGATGTGGTATCCAAACTTTGTAGCTTTTGCCCAAACAGCAACTTTTTAAATTAAGTTTTCTAATTCTTGTGACTCTGATTATGATTTTAGGTTACAGTAGACTTTAAGACGCTTCGTACACCCAGAGCCATGTAAAAATCAAAATATCAATCATATTCAAATGACTTTTTCAAACCAGGTACTCTTTCTGATCCAATGCTTCACATAGTGACCATCTGAACCTTTCTTCCTACAAACCCATTCAAAATCCATCTAAACAGTTTTTACGTCGTTCGACTAGATGTATATGCTTCCTACATACAGGACACTTATAATGGTTACTAAGTAAACTTTCATTTACACACCAGTCCATTAAAGCTCTTTCCCCCTTTCGCTCCAAATCGTACAGAAACTTCAAATTAATCTTACTAATTTTGGCCATTCTACCATCTAAAGAATCAAACCAACACACACCACAAAAACACTTATAAACACATCCCATGATTCAAAATTTCCCAGAGTCATGCACCCGATTATGTCACAATAGGGTTTCCATAACATTGAACTACTCAGGCTACCATAAATGAAACAACAACTTGGCGATAAATGAAACAACAACTTCGCCATAATACAAGGAGTATCTTAAAGTCTACTCTACCCGGGGTGCACAATGCAAAGTTTGTACAATTTTTGGATTTTTTTTAAGTGAAAATAGGTCGGCGTGTACATGGATAAAGTCAAGAGTGCACAATGCCATTTTTGTGCAATTCAGGAATTTTTTTTTTTTTTTTAAGTGAAAATAAGTCAATGTGTACATGGATACTGAGTTTGTGCAATTCTTTGTCTTGTTATTTTGGCTTTGTATAACAGCGATTTTTGCTGCAAAATTCGCCGTTATGCAAGTCAAAATAATAAGACAAAGAATTGAACAAACTCTGTATCCATGTACCGCCAAAAATCGCTAAGTTTTGCCGAGGGATACTCTGAAATATACTTTTACCTGGTTTTAAATCATTGTTGCCATTATTATGAACATTGCATTAATATTCCATAATAATACGAAGTTAATGTTTTATGTTTTTAATGGGTAGCTAGATATGATTGACAGACCAGCATTCAAATGATCCCAAATGTGTCATAGTCTGTTTTTTCTTAGATTATTCTGTAAATATAATCTAAGAAAAAACTTGTTTAGTAAAACTTGAAATATTTGATATAGATATACCCAAGAACATTTTTATTATTTATTTGTTTGTTTGTATGAAAAGTTTCATATCTAGATAAGGACAGATATCCAGTAAGTCTTTGGTTTATGTGAACTGTTATTAGTTTACAACGTGTAAAACATAATGTTAGCAGCAGCTGCAAGGATTATTCCAATAAATTATCTGACAGATTTTTAAGACTCCATTTCAGCCAAGAATATGTGATCAAACAAATCAATGTTAAAATTATTCTGCCATCCAGAACAAGAATGTAAAACTCATTGATGTGTTGAAAGATCCAGCTAACTCGTAACTGTACCTGTGCTGCACCTTGAGTCTCCACCAATTATAAAAATTGTGGTTCTAGGTGAATATTTTAACGAGGTGAAAATTAAGCTTCATTAAATTGGCTGACACTGCTAATGCTCTTCATAATATGTTAAAAATCATATCTTGATGTTTATAAGTTAGATGGAAATGTTTCTTATTGTGTAGATAAAACAAATATAAACTTTAAAAACATGCTTGATAATGGAGCTATTTGAAGAAGAGAAGGAGATGTAAATTTAGAAACTATGATCATAAAAATGCATGAGTACTTTATGGTGTTGGCAAAAAGAAGTGAAGAATTGAAACTGTATGTAGAAAGGCTGGATGTTGCTCATTATATGTCATCTAGTTAGCCTTTTTACTAACATCACCTGTGGACAGGTTGATAAAAATGGTCAGTTTTTGCATTTCCAAGATGGTTCATTTTTCTGATAGTTGAAAATTAGTAACTATGTTTGGAATTTTTCTTTTTGCTGCATATATTTTCAACTATATTTATGGTAACTGTATGAAAATTAAGGACATGGTTTTTGTGCAAAATTTACGAAGTAATTAAAGTGCTTTTCTCTATTGTTACGTTATCTTGTCATGGTTTTTCTAATTGGTTTTTGTGTAAAATGTATTAAGTAATTAAAATGATTTATCTCTTGTTTCATTATCTTGTCACATCTTTGCCGTTCCATTTTATGGAGACAGCTAGGTATGATAGCATTCGTGATAATGTTTCTTGTAAAGAAGTTAATTTATTTGCACATATGAATATCATACTGAATTGAATTTTTTCAATCGCAATTATGTTTCATCACTTTTTTAAATTGTGTGTATATATATATTTAGATTTTGGAATGGCAAGCCCTCGTACAAAGCGGGTTCTTCAAGAACTTAGAACCAAAGATGAAAACAATGTAAGGATAAACTTTAAATATTCTACTTTATAGACTTTTATTTATACAGAATATTTAAACTGAATTTTCAAGAATGAAATGTTTTCTGTGTCTAGTTAAAGGAATTTATATAAGAAATATATTTTTTATTGTATGTTTTTATATTATTGAAATTGTCATTTTGATCCTGAATCGCAAATTTAACAGATTTCCCTAAATATTTGGAGAAATATGTGCAAATGTTGCTGCATTGTCATTCCAAGTGCTAATATTTTGTTATTTTTAGCACTTTTGTAGTCACAATAACCTGTAACCTTTAGTGATATAATATTTTAAATGGGCAGTCCTGAATTCTGTTTTGCCTTATAAGTCCTTTGCTGTGCAACCCTTTTTGTTTTAAAATGGCTAACAGATGAAATGAAGAACTTTAAGAAATAATACAAAGTTGCAAACTAATCTAAGTCTCCCTTATGGGGAAATTATGGGTAACTTTTCTGTATGATTACCAAAAGCAAATATGCCCATTTGAAGAAATTAAGAAGAAACTTTGAAACCATATTTAACCCAGCATTACTTGTGCAGGGTATGAGATACCCACCTCCGTGAATTTTTTAATGTTCTTTCGTAACCTTTTTTGGGAAATGGATAAGTCTTTGTGTAGCTGTCTCTAATGTCATAACCTTGAAGGAGAAGAATCATGGGCCCGAATTCTGAAAATGGTTCTCCGGATATCGCCTCGACAGGTATATTATATCCTGCATGAGTATTTGTGTCGTAGTTCTGAGTATGCGAACAAGCTTTCAAATTGTTCTTCCGATATGGCATGTTATCACAGTTATGATGAAGAAATGGCATATTTGAGAAATGTATTGGATATTGTATCTTCAGATGAATAATTATTGTTGGAACCATAATAAAAAATAAAAGAGAGATTCCTCCAATGTTTTTTAATTCAAAGAAGAGAGAGATTTACTCCTCCATGTTTGGTTTTCAAAAAGACACAATAATTGTCTCGCATTCACTCAAGAAAAATAAGAATGCTCTTCTACTTTCAACTATGTATAATGATGATGCAAAAGACTCATCTATAGAGAATAAAAAAAAACCTGAAATAATAACTTTCTACAGTTTCTCTAAAGGAGCAATTGACATTGTAGGCAAAACTTCTGCCACATAGTCAATGGCTAGGAACCCTAATCGTTTTCCCATGGCAATATTTTTAGCACTGTTGAACGTTGCTGCAATAAATGCTTGAATTATTTTGTTATGTACTAAAAAAACCACCTACTGAATATCGAACGAGGCGATCATTTTTGATATACAGTCAAAAGTCGTTAATTCGGACACCCATAATCTGGAATGATCTATAATCCAAACCTCAAAGCTACAAATTTTCTGCGCATGCGTCGCGTTCACGCATGCGCACAGGCGTTTAAGAGTGTGCGTAAGACCTTTATGGCTGCGAATATGTTTGTGCGCATGTGCGTTTAATGTGTAACGGAGGTATAAGCTAAGCTAAAATTATCTAATTCAGTTAATGTTGCAGATTGCGTTGTTCCTTAATCTTCGAATTGGATCCGGCTTATTATTTTTTGCAGACTGTTAGAGCAATTTCATAAAAGTAAGCTTGAACTTTCGATTATGTCAAATAGAATTTCCGATATATATTTACTAATATGTAATTTGTATCTACAAAGCGAAAGTATGTTTCGAAATCCGAAATCTGTTTATCAATTTCACGTCGCGGATTAGAAGTTGATCTGTCAGCACTATCCTTATCTTCAGGGCAGATGTTTTTATTTTATTTGGCTTATAATTCCTTACTAAGTGTAGTATTTCATCTCGATGTACTCCATCTTTGATATGATTTAAATCAAGTTCCTCGTCATTATAATTCGCTTCCGATAGTGAAGAAAGTGACCCAGAGGTTATTGAAAATGAAAACATTTCGATTGACAAATTAGTCGGTATTCTCAACATAGCAATTATAGGACTTGAACAGCGAACTTTGTAACTAAACAAGAAATTATGTCTGTTTAATAGAATTAAAGAGAAAGTATTATCACATGAAACGAAGCAACTTGCATTGAAAGAAATGTTTAATAAATAAACAAATAAATATTAAGCTTTTTCTTTTTGTGAATTTTTGATACCCTTTTAGATCATAATTGTTCTTTATTTCATAAATTAAACGGTTTCATATTTTTAATTTTGTAATTTCTGCATGCCATCTTACCAGATTTAAACTGATGATCGATAATCCGGAATCGCCGAAGTCCCGACGAGTCCGGATTAACGACTTTTAACTTTGGGATTCCAACTTTCAGAAGAATACAAGAAAAATAGAAGCTAACAAGCGATACTTCCATGAAACTTAAAAGAAAAACTAGGATCCAATGGAGACATCGCACCACCTACAAAGAAGGCCAAAGTAATATCTAAAAGATTCGCTGAATGCCCTAATAGAAAAAGACAGAAAAACTAAATTTATTTGTGAAAGGTGTGACAAACATATACGTATGGAGCGCATGGCATGTATTTGCAGAAAATATGCAAAATAAATATAAGTAGCATGATTAAAAAGTTTTACAACTGTAGTCATCTTTTTAATTTTTTTTTAATGTTTCGTGTATGGATTTTATAGTAGGAAATATACTGAATCACCCTTATGTATAACATACCCTGCACGAGTAACACCGTTCCTTTTTGTCGTGCGTGTAATGCTGGGTTAATAAGTTTTCATTTTGTAAGTAGTTTAGCAGAACTAGCTTCCTGTGAGTATCATATAAACATAGGTGTCACTTTGTGCATAAAAATACCATACTGATGGTTTTTTTTTATTCAGCAAGTTGATCTAATTATTTTATATGTTCAGACCTTTATGTATGGGAACTGGGCTGAACATGCATTCCATTTTGAATAGACTGGTAAAAATATATTTCAGGGTACCTCTTGGCGAAAATGGAGAATTTTTTGGCACCATTCCTGTTTACATCTCACGCCCTCCCCAGTGAAATGGCATCCAAAACATAATTGAAACAAAAAGTATATAATGTCAATAAAAATGCATTTTAAATCAAACAAGGAAATAACATGAGGGAAACATGATATGTAATGTACACAATATGAAAAGGAAATATTGACTTACCTTATTTTAAAATTTTGGTTTCTTCGGTATGTAAGACACACAGAATGCCTTGACAGCATCCAAAAACTATTTAAAATTATCTAAACTAGAATCTGTATACTGCCATTGCCACATAAATTCAGAAAAGTAAAAATGATAAATATTCTCTGTACTGCCGGACTGATGCGGTACTGCGATGACATTTCTTTCGAAAATCTCTCTTTATTTGACCCCACATACCTTCCATAGCATTGATATGAGCTCCGGTTTCCAAATCCTTAAATCTCGCCACATAATTTACTGAGAGGTGAACGAAGCCATTTAAATCTTCATTTACACACCAGTCAATCAATGTTTTCTTTCCCAATCGTTCTAAAGTGTTCAGAAACTTCATGTTAATCATACCACCTGGAGGCATTTTATGGTGTAAAGCACAAAATAAGCAACGTACTTCCTAACCGACATCCAATACATAAATAAACCCTTACAAATATTTTCCCATCAGTCAAATTCCCGCAATAACACAACCAATCATGTCATAATTGGGTTACATTAAACTACAGTACAAAGTCCGTAATCTGGACATCCATTATCTGGAATGATCTATAATCAGGACCTCAAAGCCACAAAACTTTTTTTTTTTTTTTTTTTTTTGTATGCTTTACGCATGTGCATTTAATGTTTCGCATACACGTTTAGCACAAAAAACGAAGCAACTTAAACAACTTGCATTGGAAGAAATGTTTAATAAAGTAAACAAATAAATGTTAAGCTTTTTTTTTTTTTTTTTTTTTTTTTTTTTATACTCTTTAGATCATAATTGCTCTTCATGCACATAATGTGTTTAATGTTACGCATGCGCGTTTAACACAAACGAAGCAAACAACTTACATTGAAAGAAATGTTTAATAGATCATAATTGCTCTGTATTTCATAAATTATGGTTTAATATTTTTAATTGTATAATTTCTGCATGCCATCTTACCAGATTTAAATTGATGATCTATAATCTGGAAAAACCCCTAATCCGGAATCGCCGAAGTCCCGACGAGTCCAGATTATGGACTTTGTGCTGTACTCAGGTTGCCATAAATGAAACAACAATTTACTGATAATCCAAGGGTACTCTAAAATATAGGCTAATCAAGAGACAAAGCCCTTTTTTATTGCCATCTCATCATGTTAGTATAAATCCTCATTTCTATAAATATTTCCAAATTCTTCATAATCAAATAGTAGGTTATAACCCGTAAATAAACGTGTGTCAGTGGTATGCAATGAAGATGTTGATTGTACAAGATATTCAGAGAAGGTATATTTCTCTAGATGCATGATGATGCCCATCAAAGATGGAAAAGTATATGTTAATAGCATTTTCACATCGTAGGGATTGCAAAATGTGTTATGAAGTTTTAATTTTTATACTTTTGCTGTTTATACTGTATGCATCTCTACACTTTATACTGTCTACACCTTGTACTTTTTTATCTTTTTTGTGTTACATTTAATGGCCATGAATTAAAAATATCAAAGAGGTAAAACCGCAATCTTAAAAAGGAAGGACTCAAATTAGTTATATTTTGTACAAATAAATTAAAAGTCGTGTATCTCCATTGTAATATACATTTTTCTACTGCTTCTGAAGCTATGGTTTCCGTCGCTTTTGGGTATTAGATAAAATAGTTTGTTATATAAATTTAAATCAATAATATTTAGAATAAATTCATATAAAAATATGTACAATGTGAATACAAAGATATGTTATTACTCTCTTCTTCAGCATAACAGTCTCGTAGGAGTTAAATGAAGAATTAATTTAATTGGGTACTATTCGGTTTCGAGGGCCGTAAAAAATCGCCAAACTATTGTTGATGCCAGTGCTGCCAAAAGTAATTGCGGCAACCCTAACGCAAGAAAGGAAGTATAATAGTAAACAATTATCTAAATATTGATGTTTTAATTTAGATGAACGTTTAATTTCATATAATATTTCGCTGCCGAGTTATCGCTAAAGCATAATGTCATCTCGTTGGTTGTTCAAACATAATTTTCTATAATGAATGATACCTTTTCTTTGAAAACATTTTCGGTAAAGTGCAGAATCGCCCGCTTATTTCTTTGCCGCTTTTTACAAGGGTAAAAACAATTGGAATTTTGTCAATTTTCTTTTACTTTTTAAGTGACAATAGGTCGATGTGTACATAGATAAAGTCAAGGGTGTGCGCAGTGCCACTTTTATGCAATTCTGGGATTTTTTTTTTTAAGTGAAAATAAGTCGATGTGTACATGGATACCAAGTATGTGCAATTCTTAAAAACGCGTCAAGCAGTGGGTGATTCTGCACTTTACCCAAAATTCTATCTGCAGACTTTTCATCATAGGCACAGTTCCCAAATTGTTAAATCCATAGGATATCCAAAAAAGGAATTTTAAATCAAAAAAAGAATTTAAAAATTCAACTAGTATTTCAATGGCGTCCTTAAGAAATATAGAACTATATCTAAACTTGCGCAATCTGAAATCAGCGCGTACGCGAGATTTGGCACGCTGTTAAATGGGCGTGTTTGCTAGATTTGGCGCTTTCGCGCATACTTTTTCGCTACAATTTTTTTACGGCTCTCGAAACCGAATAGTACCTTTAATTGTAATATTTTTAATAAGAGTTTCTTTTATGTGTCCTACCGATTATGAAATTTGGTACTTTTCTGTCATTAGGACTGGATTCAGAAATGTATGTGTTCATGTATGCATGTGTACATATGCATAATATGTGTGTGTGTACACTCATGTATTCATATATACACACATATAGATGTGCATGCATACATACATACATTTCTGAATCCAGTCCTGATAACAGAAGAGCACTTGAAATTCTTCTGGCCGCGTTTTTCCCTCCAAAATAATGGTCAGCTTGTTTAAAGCATCATGAACTTTTTGTATAAATATTTATAACTTTCTCTTCAGAATGCTATTTTTAATTTTTATTTACTGCTGCTCATCTGTTTCTTTCTAAAAATGAAAAAAAGAAAAAAAAATATGTGTCCATGTGTTAGTAGTGTTAATGCATTTCCCTTTTTTCTCCCAGAATTGCTTTGAATGTGGTTCTCATAATCCCCAGTGGGTTAGTGTAACATATGGGATCTGGATATGTTTAGATTGTTCTGGTAAGCACCGAGGATTAGGTGTGCATTTAAGGTAAGAACTAAATTAATGCTGTTGTTCTATTTTTTCCCTGCCTGCATGCACTATTATTTTAATAAAATATATTATTATATATCATTTTCACTTATCTGCAATGACTTCTCTATTTATTTCATTAACCGTTTGTGTGGCCGGATGCCTAAATTACTTACTTATCTTAAAAAAGAAATTCTGTACAATGATTTCATAAAGTCCACATAGTGTAATTCATAAAAATACTTAATAGTTCAAGAAGGGCATCTTATGATTTAAATTTTAAATGCATTTTTATTTAAATCAGATTAAGAAGTAGAAAAACTATTGTTGTTAAGAGCTGTGTTTATTGCTTAGTTTGTTAATCCATAACAGACTGATTAAATTTAAAAATCAGTTATCTTATGCTTTGCAGGGTTGCCACGCTACCTGGAAAACCGGGAAAAGTCAGGGAATTCGAAAATTGACCAAAATATTCAGGGAAAAGTCAGGGAATTTAAGTATTTTTGTCAAAATCTGGAAAGTCCAGGGAGGTTCATACAACGATGCCGCCAAAAAAAGCGATTTTTGCGCCGACGTCGGAAGAGATAACTTTTTTGGCGAATTATGTATGTATCACGTGAGTGTCATTCGGGTAGCTGGCATAGAGCCAATTTTTCGCAGCTCCAATTTGATTGTCTTTTAGAAAGGCAAAGCAACTTTCCCCCTCCCGCAACTTTTGGTTTCCAGTATTCTCGAGAATCGCATGTGCAGTGCATGAACTAAAAAGTACCTGTTCTCGTAAAAAACAAAATGGGTTTAAAATCCTAGTATACGGTACCATGGAGGTTAGAATCAAAGAATATGTATTGTAAAGAAGGAAAACCTCTCTGCAACAGACGTGGCTTTCCGTTCCATCATAGAGGGAAACAGCTGTGCATGTCTGATATATCTGTCCGCCGAAGCTCGAAACCGGTATCGAAGTTCGAAGGTCACGTTATCAAGAGTTCATAAAATGAATATCGTTTAAAATTTCTTGAACGACTTGCGCTAAAAAGACGTGCATCTCGACGTGCCACGCACGTCGAGATGCTTTTGTCTCAAACCGTGAGCGACGTGAACACCACGTCGATAAGCATTTATCGCAAAAATGAAAATAACGTGGTGCACACGTCGCCTAACAACGAGATTGTTTATTTCTCGAGTTACAGATCTGGATTGCACTCGCAGATGCGGAGCGGCGTAAATGAGACACTTTACCGCTTGTTATATTGTAGCGCACGGCACCGCAACCGTGAAGTTTAGTCTTAGCGCAAGTGGTTAAACTCTAAAGGAAAAGAAAATATTTTTTGGCGCAAGTAAATTAATTCACGGATTAGTTATTTTCAGGGGGAAAAAAACTACGAAAATCCGTTTTTAAAATTATTGCGTGGATTTTTCACACATAATTTTAAAACGGATTTTTTGTAGTTTTTCTTTTGTCAAAGAGCGTTTCTTTTTAACACGTGTTTCTTCTCAATTTCCTGTACACAAATGCGAACGAACCCTAGAAATTGCTGGCCGCCATCGGTTCGGAGAGGGAAGTTCTGTCGCCAAATCCCTTGGCAAATTTTTCCCTCCCTCTTCACTTTCTAGCGACATAATAAGCATTTTACTGTGTATGGAACCTTTTCTTCTTTACATAGACGTTCTTTGTTTAGAGTAACCTCCATGTACTGTACACACGGGATTTGGCGACATCATGATGCGCAGTAAACGGGTCAATTTTGGTCTTGGCGACAATTTTCAAAATCGTGCCAAGGCCTTACCGTATACTATGAATTTTACCACCAAATCTTTTTAAAACCTTTTTTTTTTTAAATGCCTTTTTAATAAATACCTTGCATTTTGCAGTAAAATAAAAAAAAAAAATAGTAATATGTCAATCTAGGGCTAACCATGTAATATAACTATATTCGCTAAAATATCCGTTGATTATTCTAATTCAATTTTTAAGTAATTATTTTTATTTTATTCATTATTTGTTATTTGTATCGTTTAATGCTTGCTTCTTACCTCTAAATTTATTTATTATTAGTAAATAAATATTTCCAAATTTCAGGAAATTTTCTCTGGCATAATCCTAAAATTAATTATAGCAGTATGATGACATACCGTCACGGAATTTAATGCACATATTTTTTCCTTATGTATGCTGCAAAATAAATATGAAATACCTCAATTTATTAAAATAGATTTCTTTCTTTCGTTTAGCTGCAGAATGTCTGCAAAAAAAGCCTTATTTTATTCCAGATTGGGAAGATTCTAATCTCAATCTTCAGTGGAGAAAACAACAACTGTTATAATTATATTTTTGTTTTCAAGTGTTAAGGTGCCTTTTAGAAAACATACCTCACGCAAATTAAATTTACCTAAAATCTAACCTAACTATTTAGCATTGCGTTTTGATTTATAAGGACCAGGGATTAGCCCTCGTGTTGAACTGTTTTGATGATCATGAGTAATAATTAAATAAAACATACATTTGTTATCCAATGTATATATCTTAAATTTTATTTAAGTTTTTTAAGTGGAAAACTAAACAAAATTATCAAACAAAGTATACCAAGAATAATTAAGAATAAATGTCCTCTGGGATTTATTGAATAATTAAGTGAATTTGCTACACAATATAAGTAATACCATAATTAATTTACCTCTTAGCACAGCCAACGTACATTACGCGGATAGACTGGAATTTTCTTGAAACACACCTGGAAAACCTGGAAAAGTCAGGGAATTTCATTCTCCTGTTTGAGTGGCAACCCTGGCTTTGCCAAATGGCAACATATTAGCTCTGGAAAATAATAGTATTTTATTTCAGGCAGTGACAGCACATTACTTTTAAAGAGTTGAATTTATTAAAACTTCATGGCAATCATACATTTTGCCATATGTAATACTGTGGCATGCTGGAGATAAAAATGTTTTATTTTGAATAATGTTGACATTGCTCATATTTAAATTTTTAAATTTGCACTTCAGGGTGTACATGTTCAGGTGGAGGATTATATATATTGAAAATATGGTGGCTCTGAGTGCCTCATTTACCCACAATGTGAGGAAGGTACATACAGATCCTTCATTATGTAATAATAGAGATTTAATATAATGTATTTACATTTGTTTCGTCTGGTTGAAAGGCATGCTTCATGTAAAGAAAATTTAAATACATTTTTTAATTTTTTGTATCTTTGAAAGAATGAACTTTTCCTTGAAATTTAAAATGCATAAAATTTCAATTTGTTGATATTTCAATAAAATAAGTTCTGTAGAATGAAACTACAGAATTATGATAAACTAAAATGACAGTAGTCTTACATTATTGTGTAATTTCATGAGCACTTTTTCATTAAAGCTATGGTCTACATTTTTGGCACCATATTAGCAGATTTTTGTACATTTCTTTCCTCATGCCTTTGGTTCAATACTAGGTAAAATGGGATGATTGGGATTTACAATAAGGAACATTAATTTCAGGACAAAAGCCCATTTTAGAGGAAGAATCTGGCTTACTTTTTTTTTTTTTTTCCCCCCCTTCCTTTTGCGAATAAGTTCCACAGTTAGAATGAACTATCAAAAAATTTATTCATGCCTTTCTTATGTACAATCAATCAATAGTCAATATAATCACAATGCAAACAGCTATTGCATTATGATTATTCAAAGCAAGCTTTATTTTGAAAACTCAGTAGATGTTAATGCCTGCCATCATAAGCAAATGAATCGTATGGCAGTATGATAGACAAATGTTTGATCCTACAAACCACACTTGTCTTTGGACATCCTTTTCTTTCTCGCATGATCAAAGTCTTCATAGCCATTTCAATTTCGATTCGCGTTTTAATTTCATGCAGGATTCTTCAGAGATAATTTTTGTTTGTAAGATGTCTTTGTTTGTAGGATGTCTGAAGGAACAGGATAGTTGCTTCTTCGTGTCATGGCAAATTAAAAAGACATAAAATCTTATGTAGATACGATTTAAAAAGAAAATGTTTTTGATTATTTGAAGCCCTTTCCAAAAAAAGGTGACTAATTTTTCACCAAGCTATTGTAGGAAAGCAGCAACCATTTTGAAAATGGCAACACACTAAAAATTCATTAAAAGAGCAATGAATGAATAAAATTAAAAGAGCAAGCAACATCCAAAAGTAAAATGCTTAACTTTTCAACAAACCCTTATGTAATTTTTTTGGACTTTTGTTCTTACCATGTACTTAGTGATTTGTCTTTAATAAAGAAAAACGTCATTAATAAAGAAAAGCATAAGAGAATTGCCTAAATTTGTTTCACTGTTAGTTGTTGCTTTCCCCATATGTATTTGATCTGTTTTTGCTTAAAAAATCATCAGAAGATTGCACTGGTTTTGATCCATAAAATTTGATCATTTAAGATGTACAACTTCATGGAATGCAAATTTTTGCATTCTAGACTGTTGAATGATATGGCATATTTGAGAAGAAATACAATGTTTTCTTTTTCATCAGACTCCACAATCTCATTACAATTCTTTGCAAAAAGGCAATACACTCAAAAACAAACACTAATCAGAAAAATCAAAGTTGAATTTGAAGATGAAAATCTGCATTCATCTGCTTCACTTATGCACATGCATTGGTTGCTACATAAATACATTCTGGTGATATCTTAGCTTGCCTGTTTTGACGACGTAGTGCATTGCCTCATAAATACTTTTCAAGAAAATCCAGATATCAGAAAGGACCAGCAATTATTAAAGAAAAAACTGGGATCACAGCAATGGCTGTAAAGATAATTATCGCTAGGAAAAAAGGCCACACCTGACATCAAGGAAATATGATACAACAAAAAAGTGACATGTCTTTATCATGACAGTGAATGGAAAAGTATCATTTTTTGTACTTTTTTATTGGGCCTTGGCAAGATAGACAAAATGGCATTGGTGCACTTTGGATATTAGAACATAATAATTGGATAATGAACAGCCATGGAAAACACGATGAAACTTTTAATCTATGCATGTTTCAGAAAAATGTGATTTGTTGTCAGTTGTTGCATATAAATATTAAGTAAATTTATTATATACATATAAATATCAAGTATATAATATATAATTAGTAATATGTTTGCATATAAATATTAAGTAAATTTCTTGTTTATATGAACAATGAACTGGATGGGATAATGTGCTCATGCATTTTGCTTCTGTCACAAAAGTTAACCGCCCCCCACCCACAAAAAAAGAAAGAAAAAGAAAAAAAAATTTTGCCTTCTAAAATGTTCTTAAGTTAAAATTTTTTGTATAAATCCTTCTTCCTTTTCTAATGAGATTTCTTGTAATTAATATTGATTTATAAAAATATAAAATTACCATTTAAAAAAAAAACTTCTAGGTTGAATTAATTATTTTCAGTTCTAGGACAATAATAATAATAAACATGAAAAATTGATAAAGTTCCAGGATCTAAAATAAGTCACAGTAGAATTCTTTTAAAAAATTTGGGAGGGGAGAAGAGGGCCAAAATGATATAGACTACTTCTACAGAGCAGAATGCTTTTGCTTTTATCTCAGTTTCATTGTTTCAATGAATTAGATTCTGTCAACGTAACTGAGTGCATCAAATCAAAAACTAATTAACTAATATATATATATAACATTTATTAAATTGTTTCAAAAGAATAAATGAATTTAAATACAAATTTTATTATTTCTTTGTGCCATTGCTGCAATAAATGAAATTTAAATCGCAGTCCTAAAACGTCGTCGTCGAAAATAAAGCAGTTCAAAAACTTCGCAGTTTAAAAATATCGTGATAAAAAATAAAGTATCTACAAATCATCGCATGACGATTAACTTTTCAGACATGCTTTTCGCAGATATGCTTTAATAACTGTAAATGGATATTCCTGTAATGATTGAGCGCAAGATGGAAAGAAGGATAATTTTTACTTTCATATTTTTTATTAACTAATAAATTTTTGCTGAGAAAATAAGAAGGAAACTTAAGCATAGAAAATTAATACAGTCAAAAGTCGTTAATCCGGACTCGTCGGGACTTCGGCGATTCCGGATTATCGATTTTTCCGGATTATGGATGATCAGTTTAAATCTCGTAAGATGGCATGCAGAAATTCTAAAATTAAAAATATGAAACCGTAATTTATGAAATAAAGAACAATTATGATCTAAAGGGTATCAAAATTTCCAAAAAGAAAAAGCTTAATATTTATTTGTTTACTTTATAAACATTTCTTTCAATGTAAGTTGTTTAAGTTTTGCTTCATTTCATGTGATAATACTTTCTCTTTAATTCTATTAAAACAGACATAATTTCTTGTTCAGTTACAAAGTTCCTGTTCAAGTCCTATAATTGCTGTGTCGAGAACACCGACTAATTTGTCAATCGAAATTTTTTCGTTTTCAATAACCTCTGTCACTTTCTTCGCTATCGGAAGCGAATTATAATGACGAGAAACTTGTTTTAAATCATATCAAAGACGGAGCATATTGAGATGAAATACTACATTTGGTAAGGAATTATAAGCCAAATAAAATAAAAGCATCTGCGCGGAAGATAAGGATAGTGCTGACGGATCAACTTCCAATTCATTACGCGCCCGGCGTTCCCCCTGCCGAGCAGCGTGAAATTGATAAACAGATTTCGGATTTCAAAACATACTTTTGCTTTAGATCCTTTACATATTAACAGATATATATTGGAAATTCTGTTTGATATAATCGAAAGTTTAAGCTTACTTTTATAAAATTGCTCTTACAGTCTGCAAAAAATAATAAGCCAGATCCAATTTGAAAATTAAGGAACAACGCAATCATCAACATTAACTGAAATAGATAATTAGATAATTTTAGCTTATACGTCCATTATACATAAAACGCGCACGCGAAAACGTATTCTGCACTTGCGCACACTCATATGCGCAGTCGTAAAAGGTCTTACGTGCACGCGTAAACACCTATGCGCATGTGTCAATGCGGCGCATGCGCAGAAAGTTTTTAGTTTTGAGGTTTGGATTATAGATCATTCCGAATTATGGGTGTCCGAATTAACGACTTTTGACTGTACAACTTATAGCACTTAATAGAATTTTAAACCGACATGGTTAACTAACAAAGGTCATCAATAAATCATTTTTGTAAAGTCTTTACTGGTAATTTTTCATGAAAAGTATAAGTTGCATTTAATTATCTATGCTTAAGTTTCCTTCTTACTTTTTCAGCAAAAATTTATTAGTTAATTAAAAAAATGTGAAAGTAAAAATTATCCTTCTTTACATCTTGCGCTCATAAATCATTATGGGAATATCCATTCACAATTATTAAAACCTGAAAAAAGCATGTCTGCGATGTTATCGTCATGCAATCATTTGTAGATACTTTATTTTTTACCACGATATTTTCAACGACGATGTTTTTAAACTGCAAAGTTTTTTAACCGCTTTAGTTTCAATGACGATGTTTTAGAACTGCAATGTTTTGTAGCACGACGTTTTCGCCTTGCGTTGTTTTCTCCGCGACGTTTTCGTCTGCAATGTTTTTGCCGCGATGTTATCGGCGGACACCATTAAACACATTTTATTTACTAAATTGATTCGTTTCAAGCAGTCTGGGATATTTGCAAAACTAATTTCCCAGACTATGCCAGGTATCGATCTGTTCTTGTGATGGAATAATTGATCGTTGTTTGTAAGTGTAGTCACACATTATTGGGATTTACTCAACAAGTGTACTCTCTGCATTTTATGTTAAAATTTATGATGTATTCTATGCTAACTTGTTTGTGTGCAATTTTAGCTTTGTTAGATCTGTCTCAATGGACAAATGGAAAGATATTGAATTAGAAAAAATGAAGGTTGGTGGAAATAGAAAAGCAAAGCAATTTTTGGAAAGTCAACCTGATTATAACCATAAAATGCCTTTGAAGGACAAATATAATACCCGTGCAGCTGCTTTGTATAGAGATAAGGTAATGTAAAATGCCTTTGCTGCTGATATTATAAGATTTTAATTGTTAGCTTTGTGTTAATTCAATATTTATAGTTGAAATGAGTACTATAGTTCTAAATGCATTTTTCCCTGCATAATTAAATTTCTTATGTAATTAAAAAGTCTAGTTTTTAGGTTTATAAACTTGAGAACATTTTCCTTGCCTTGCCTTTCTCAATAATAGTTGTTTTTTGAAAAGCTGTGTAAAGATCAAAAGAACAAGTACTTAATTTATGCAAGTGAAAGAAATGGTGATCAGAGACATATGGGAGATGAAGTAAAAATTTAGCATCATCAAGTAGCTTTTCCAGAATAATTCTGTCACTATCATGAAGAAGAATAGGACTTTTTATGTTATCTAATGCTGGCTATTTATCTCTCAACCTTAAATAACTTCTAATTTATTAATATGTAACTATTCTGTGATAAATCTTACCATAATAATACTAGAATCATCTTGAAATCGTAATCTGTAATGAATTAGACCTGTGACAGGTAACAAAACTACAGTAAATATTTTATTACTATAGATATTTTATTTGTAAGCAATTTTTCATGCATTTCTAGTCAAGCCTTTAATAACTCAATTGCTATTCATTACATTTAAGGAATACTGCTAATGCTGAATATCTGTATATTTGTTTGGTGAAATTATAAGTTCAATATGTTCTGAGTATAAACAGAATCCCTATTTCCTCAAAAATTTGAGTCCAAGAACACGCATATCTGTTTTTAGCGTTACATAAACTGTGTACTTATATACATAAACAGTAAATATTCATTTTTCAATACAAAATTTAGGAATTTAAATAAATTATAACTGTAATACTTTCAAATACTCACCAGGCATTATTGTATTGGAATAAATTTTTAGTTTTTTTCATATGCTCAGATAATTCATTTAAAATTCTGGACTAATTTACAGATGCTCACATTTGTTTTTGGACACTTGTATTTGTTGTTTCTATTTGTAAATCTCAGTTACTAAATATTAGCAAAATGACAAATACTTTTCTTTCACATGTAGTATTGATGTTCTGTTTTTAAACCTGCTCATTTTGATAAAAGTTAATCAAAATTTGTTTGAGGAAATAAAATATAAAATGTTCTGAAAATGAACTCGCATAAGGATTCAAACACTTTAAATAAACAGTTTGTATTTAACAAAAACATTAAAATAACAGGACATTCGGTATTTCCTTTAGCTAAAATTATACTTTTCATGCATTTTTTTCTAGATTCAAGTAATTTTTTTCATGTAAGCATATTTTATTTGTTTCAATCCTACATAAGAATTACTTTTAATAGAGCTTTCAAAGAAATATCATGTTTTCTTATTCTTTTCTCCATCTTACTTCATATATGTTCCATAGGATTTAAGTCCAGGTATTATGGAGAAGTTTTGATAATTTCAAAACAGTTTTATAATACTCACAAGCAAGCATTTAGGGCTGTATGTTTACGATCATTATCCTGATAGAACCTAAATATATTTTGCATCAGATGCTTTCATTTATGCATTAAGAATATTTATATACAGTCAAAAGTCTTTAATCCAGACGTCCATAATTCGGAATGATCTATGACCCGGACCTCAAAGCTACAAACTTTCTGCGCATGCATAAACACTAAATGCGTTTACGCATAATACCTTTATGCATGCGCATTTAATGTATAACGGACGGTATAAGCTAAGCTCTAATTATCTATTTCAGTTAATGTTGCAGATTGTGTTGTTCCTTAATCTTCGAATTGGATCCGACTTATTGTTTTTCGCAGACTGTGAGAGCAATTTTATAAAAGTAAGCTTGAACTTATTATGTCAGAAAGAGTTTTCGATTCTGGACCTGCCAAAGGATCTACAAAGCAAAAGCATGTTTCGATGTCCATCAAACAAAAAGTGGAAATGATGCAAAAAATGGATAGAGGCATATCCTTTGTTTCTCTAACCATTCCGAAATCTGTTTATCAATTTCACGCTGCTCTAGGGGGGGGAGAACGTAGCGGCGCACAATGAACTGGATGTTGATCTGTCAGCACTATCCTTATCTTCAGGGCAGATTTTATTATTTTATTCACTTTATAATTCCTTACTAAATTTAGTATTTCATCTTGATGTACTCCATCTTTGATATGATTTAAATCAAATTCCTCGTTATTATAAATATCACGAATACACATCAAATAGTTTTCTGGTTGCAATTTTCTAATTTTGACTATGCATAATGTATGCTTTACGCATGCGCATGTTGAAAGAAATCTTTAATAAAGTAAACAAATAAATATGAAGCTTTTTGGGGTAAATTTTGATACGCTTTAGATCATAATTGCTCTTTATTTCATAAATTACGGTTTCATATTTTTAATTTTTATAATTTCTGCATGACATCTTACCAGATTTAAATTAAATGATCTATAATCCGGAATTGCCGAAGTCCCGACGAGTCCGGATTAACGACTTTTGACTGTACTGAGTTGGAACAACAGGAATAACTTTTAGAAATTTTCAAATGAAAGTTTAACAAAGAACTTAATTTCAAAGGAAAGAAGTCCGGATTAAAGACTTTTGACTGTACTTATATTTTACTAAATTATACTATTTTTTATATGATACTTTATTAATTTTTTTAACTTTTTCAAATTATATTTAACTTTAATGTTTGTGAAATTCAGTATGTGTATTTGTATTTGTTTTTAGTTTTTATAGATATCAGTCCCACTCCCTTTAAAGTTTGGAGAAATTTTGGTTTTTAATTTGTAAAAGTATGGATTTACACTTTGTTGTCAATTTAAGTATTTATTTATTGTATTTTTTAACTTTAGATCAGTACGGAAGCTCAAGGAAAACCATGGTCTATTGAAACTTCATCTGCAAAGAACTATTCTGCTAACAGTATGACCAAAAGTTCTTCAAGCAGCAGTTTGAAATCCTATAATTATTCTAATGATTATTCTTCATCTCGATATCAAGGTGAAGAGTGGGATAATTTTAGCTCTGGATATCAGAGGTTAGTTTTTTATTTTTGATATGCTGTTTACATATTTCATTTTAAAATGTCTGTCAATGTGTAATTTATTCTTTTTATTTGGCACAATTGGTTTATTTTCTGCATCCTTTGTATGTACTAAAGTTTTTAACAGTCTTGATATGTTAAGACACTTTTCCCCCAAATATCATAGAAATATAGGTGTTCAAATAAATGAAGTGCCAATATGGAAATTCTGCCGCCATAAAAATTATTGCAGCAATATAATGAATAAATACTTGGGTTTATGCTGTTATGTTAACATAACACCATAAACCCGAGTAATCATGCTGTGTTGTTGATTGATACATATGAGCTGTGTGCATGATTTATCATCATTTGACCAGAGGTAAGGAATAAGATCTGGAAGGATGAAGGATCTGGAAGGAAGAAATGTAATCTCATGAGTTTTTATGTCAATAATTGCAAGAATATGTGTGGAATATGTCAATTTAAAGTCAAATCATTAGTGCCTTGAATAAATGAGTGCCTCTATTTGGAGGGAGAAGAGGATTGTCGGTACCTGGGAAGGATGGTATTCATTTAGAAGGAAAAAAAAAATTTCAAATCACATCCCATTTCGATTCTAGGGCTGCTCAAACTCTTAGTTAATGCCCTACTCGGTATACACTACATTCCATGAGATTTACTAATCATCAATAAATGTATATTGTCATTATTACACCAGGTAACACAGCTTACATGGGAAATCCTTGTCATTAATTCACTGATGACAGTTGGTTTTTTGCTTGATCAAAACATTCAGATTTTCAGTTGTTTGGTGTACAGATCTCTGTGTATGTGGTCAAAATTACATAAGGTTAATGGTCCATCATATAAGTAAGGTATTTGCAAGCTAATAGGTGGTTCTACAGTGTGTAATGAGGGGGATGTGCTAATCTTCTTTGACAGAAATGACATGCAAAAGATCTCATTGCAAACCTAGATGCACTCCTTGAAAGTTGTGTTTCACAGTTGTAATGTTTTATACCAGTAAGATAATATCAGTCTTTATCATCCATGGATGGCACAGATCTGATTTTAATGAGAAACCATAATCCATTAAAACAAAACTCTGCTAATAAAATGCATCCCAGATGTTAAAATGCTAGAGTGAAGGGAGGCTGCCTTGCTGTTGGATTCAGAGTTAAATTTGAGATAATTTATAGATAGTATCTTTTGAAAATAGAACTTCTTAAAATCTGTCTATTTAAAAGTTCTCTTGAAAAGTTAGTGATAGGCGAAAAGGAATATTAGATTCTTAGATTTCATCTCCCAGAGAAATGAGTAAAATCATTTATGAGGTAATCTAGTTTTTTAGCAAATGACTCTCACTTATGATTATTAATGACATTCAGATGGCACCTTAAAATTTTGTCAATTTCATATCTAAGCATTCTTTGCATGAAAAGATACAGATAAATAGCATAAATGTGGCATTTATATGTATCCTCAGAGTCATTACAGAACAAAATAATGAATGCATTTAAAATATAATTTATATTATAGTATGTTACATTTTTTACTCGTTCAATACATGTTTAAGTTCCTTATATTTTTTCCCTTAGTCAGACTCAAATGTCACCAACAACAGATTATTTTATTTTATTTTGGAGAGGATGCATCCTACCACCTGAAATACTCGCATCAGCAAGAAAAATGCAAATAAATTTAAAGAATAATAACTTTCACTCATTTCATGTAAAATGAAAAAAAGAAATAAATGTTTTTATGAAAAGTAATACCATAAACCAAAACATTTAATTTAAACATCAAAATAGCATTTGTAATACAGATATGCAAAAGTATAAAAAGCTGCAGTTTTTCTTACTTCAGTTGGGAAATTAAAAACTTTTAATATCATTAAGAATTCTTTTAAATGGATGTTTCCTTTCATCAGTCCAGCCAGGTAAAATTCCATGCAGTGACCTGTTATTGTTCGATGTTTCTTGCTTCATCATTTTGCAGGGAGCATGACAGGAAATGCTTGCAGTTTTAAGGATGGTGATTGAAACAATATTGAGATTTATTGCTTGAAAGGAAAAGTACAAAATTTTATTTGAATGTATATTTATCACTGGAAATATTTTGAACTAGATTTACGATATGCAGTGTTAAATCTTGATAAAGGTATATAAGATTATTTTATATTTGTTTGTTATATAGAATAATTTTCATTGTATACTTTAAAATCTTGAATTATAGTCTGGTTTTTAAAGTCTTCCAGATAAAAATGTGTCTTACCAAAGAGATGATTTCTTCAACAGAAAGCAGGAAGAAAATATGCAGAGACCAGAGTAAGTGTGTGTTTATTATATAGGTGATGATCTATATGTTTTCCTTTAGATCTGAATGAAAAGAATCTGATTGTTGTATGTCATGATATTTATCCAAGTTATTTTCATTATTGTTTCAATGATGTGGCTTTCAGCTTGAAATCTGTACCATTTCATAATGCATGGATATTTTCTGAATTACAGCTCAATATTTTACTTTTGATTGATCCCCCCCCATTTATTTCTAATTGTAACATAAAACTAAATTATGCCTTTAAATAAATCATCAAAATTAGTATAGCCATTGTCTAACTGTATTTTTTTTTTTTTTTTTTTTTTTTTAATTTAAGCTACAAGTTAGGGGTTGGCATGATACCAGGAAAAGTCAGAGAATTTGAAAATTGACCAAAAAAACTCGGGGAATTAAAAATATTTTAGCCAGATTGTGTTAAAGTTGAATGCATTTAAAGGTGAATGTCATACGTGGATCACTTTCTTGGCAAATTATGTATCACGTGAGTGTTATTTCAGCATCCAGCGTAGAGTCATTTTTCACATTGTCAATCAGATTCTCTTTCAGAAATGCAAAGTAAGATTTCGGTAATCTACAGAGAGTATAATAAATCTTTCTCTATGTTGTATAATGCATGTGAACAAAAGAAAATTCTGCTTCTTGGTTTGAAGAGCATAAACTTTTGGATAATTCATTTTTCTGTTGTCATCTCCAGTTAAAAAATGTAGTAAGTGAAACTTTATAATCTTTTACACACTATTAAATACCAATTTTTAAACATATGTTTACTTAACATTCTTTCATATTTGCTTGTTAAAATGATAAGAATTCATGCAAAGCATTTTAAAGTTAAAAGAAATCTATTGATGCATTTTGAATCATATTAATATTGTTACGAAATGTCCAGGTGCGGTAAGATGGCTCCCCCGCAAAGCGGTTTTAGGGTTGTCATAAAATAGCAAGGAAGGCAGTGCTATCACATTTGGCGAGAAATTGTCCTTTTGGCGACAAAATTGGCGATATGCCATGGACGGATGGAGAACCTTCTGGAACGAATTCTTACCAGTTTAGCCCAGAATGTCCTCGAACACAAGCCGAAAGCTATATAAACCGTGCTAGTTTGCAGTCAGTGAGTGTGCCTCGTTTAGAGTGCGAGATAGTTAGTCTCGAGTTAATCAGTCTGTGCGGAGTCAATCGAGTTGACAGCCGGGCAGCAAGAGCCGAGTGGGTCGTCGAGTGCATCAAAAAAGTCTCTTTGTGTATTGTGGTTAGTGCATCGTCGAGAGAGTGTGTTGAGCTCCGGGAACGACTAAACCGAAGAGTCGGGAGCTGTGCTCTGTGTGTCATCGAGTGCATCGCGAGTTGTAGCGTGGTGAGTCTCAAGAGTACGTGGAGTTCCGAGAATGATCAAGCAGAGTCGGGAGCTGTACTTTGGTGCTTTGCAGGGAAGTTTCACCCGGAGAGCCTAATAACCTGAGGGCTGTGTCGCTGAGTTTCAGCATGTTTATAGCAAATCTTCGACGACTGTTTAAGCATGATATTGGACCTGTCCTGCTTAATATTGGCTAAATGTGTTTTGATGCTTCATCATCAAGTGTTGTCGTTATTCACTCCAAATCCTCACGAATCACCTACAAACGTGAAGTAAGAAAATAAGGTAACAACTGGTGTCAGGGGAAAAAAACGCAACGACTGGTGTCAGAAGTGGGATTTGCGAGTGAATGCCAGTGATCTGCCTGCAGAGGAAAGCCATGGCGGAGGAAACGACTTTGATGGACTTCTTGGCTGAGATGAAAGCCGGACAGGAAGAGATGAAAGCTGAACTGAAAGAGATGAAAGCCGAACTGAAAGAGATGAAAGCCAGATATGATAATAGCTGGATATAAAGAGATGACATCTGAGATAAAAGCCAGACTGGAAGAGAAGAAAGCCTGACAAGAAGGAAGAAATGTCGACAATGAAAAGGTGCGAGAGCAACTCCCAACAGGTGAAAGTGGAGTTTACAGAAGAGGGAGGCATAAAAAGACAATGTGGAAATGAGAGAAGTGGCAGTTGAAGAATCAAAGGATGAAGAAATAAAGGAATAGCTAATGAACTGTCTGAGAAAGATCCAGAAATGAAGGATGAAATATGTTACGAGATTAAAGACAGAGATCGAAAAGATGAAGAAATGAAAGATGGAAAGAAGTTTCTGATTCTCATGTGTCTGAAGGAGAGATAGAAGAAAGTGAAAATGCGACTGTCAAGATCATAGAAAGTGTTAATGAATTTATGAAGTCGCAGTTAGCGAGTATTGAACCATCTGAAAATGCATCTGATGCAGAGATGAGAGAAGTTGATGTGCAGCTTAAGCAGCGTACTTCTGTATTGCAGGAAAATTCATCCACTTCACAAACTGGGTGTGTACCTCATAGTGCAGGTTTTGCAGACAAGGACTTTATTCTAAACCTGGATACTTCTGCTTGTAAGACAACAAGGATTGGATTCTATTCAAGACCCTGGTGCAAACATCGGAACTGGCTTTCAGAAAATAGAGGTAAATGAACATGTACCAGCTGCTGAAAATACCGAGGAGAACTGTACACATGATGTAAACAAAATGTCTCAGATCTTCCTGTGGATAAAAGGACTGAATCTTAGACTGTGATATGCAAAAAAGAAATGTATCTGAGAACTGCAGTGGAAAAGTATTTGACCCGGTTATAAATTCATGAAGAGACTAAGACTGAAATTCTTTCTGAACTTTAATTTGTATAATTTAAAATTGTGATGTGTTTAATTTGTGTATGTAACTTGTACATAGTGTAAATATCTGTTTCTTTAGTTATGTTATTTATTTATACCTTACGTTTGTTTCATTACATTTTGTTCATATCGAATTAGGCTTCTGACCAAGGGTTGTACTGCCCGGGACATGCCGTCCTTGGGAGAGGGCAGTTACAAAATGTCCAGGCGCGGTAAGATGGCTTCCCCGCACAGCAGTTTTAGGGTTGTCGTAAAATAGCAAAAAAGGCAGGGTTGCTACATTTGGTGAGAAATCGTCCATTTGGAGACAAAATTGGCAATATGCCATGGACATATGGAGAACCTTCTGGAACGAATTCTTACCAGTTTAGCCCAGAATGTTCTAGTAATATAAGCCGAAAAGCTATATAAACCCTGCTGATCCACAGTCAGTGAGTTTGCCTCGTCAAGAGGGCGAGTCAGAGTGCCTCGTCTAGCGAGCTGATAGTCAGTCATTGAGCGAGCGTTTCGAAGTCTAGCGCCAAGTTGGTCGTCGAGTGCCTCAAGGAGTCTCTTAGTGTATCGCGGTTAGTGCGTCATCGAGAGAGTGTGTTAAGCTCCAGGAGCGACTAAACCGAAGAGTCGGGAGCTGTGTTCTGTGTATCGTCAAGTGCATTGCGAGTTGTAGCATGGAGAGTTGAGAGTACGTGGAGTTCCGAGAACGACTGAGCAGAGTCGCTGTCTCCAGTGTCATTGCCTGACAGTTTGAAGGCTGTGTCGCTGATTGTTCAAGCGTGTTTATTGTAGGTCTTCGACGACTGGAAAAGTGTTTTGGAGCTGTCCTGATTAATATTGGTAAATAAAGTGTGTTTGGATATTCCATCAAGTGCTGTCGTCATTATTCACTCCAAATCCACACGAACCCCGTACGAACGTGAAGGAAGAAAATAACATAACAAGTGGTGTCAGAAAAAAAACGCAACAATATGCATTATTAAAAAAAAAAAAACTGTGAAGCTTTTTAACATCATTGGTGGCATGGATATTTCATTATAATTGGACCTTTGAAATTATGCAAGAAAAAAATCTGATATTTTATGAATTATTATTTTTTAAAATTGACTTTGTTTCGTAAATGCCAATATAGTTATTTTCTCTGAACTTGATTTATTATTATAAATAAATTTTGTTTTCAAGAAACAATTGGTGGGTGGAACTCATGGCCAAATTCAGAAATAAACACATTAAATGTAACAGTATTTGCCCCCCCTTTTTTTCCCACATTTTGTGTAGTGAGAATAAGAATCAATCCTTCTCCTATTTGAAATTTCAGATTTTGCTCTGCTCCCCTCCCATTCTCGTACAAAAAAAAAAAATTTTTTTTCCCTCTTTAATACATGTGTTGTTTGTCATTTTGGAGTAACAATTTTATATTATTTTCAGTCTTCATATAATTAATTTTATTTTAATGTTATTCATATAATTTAATGTGGTTGCTCTGTTCTAAATTTATTTATTATTACTTTAATAATACTTTCAAATTTCAGATAATTTTCTCCAGAATACTTGTGTAACTAATTCTATCAGTATAATGACATACCATCATGAAATTTAGTACTCATATTTTTTACTTATATATGGTGCTAAATAAATACAAAATATTTAAATTTATTTTAAAATATTCTTAAATAGATCTAATTTTTTTCCTTTAGCTGTAAAATGTTTGCAAAAAAGCCATTTTTTAATCCTGATTCTAAATCTCAATTCTCAGTGCAGTCCATGGTTGCATCTTATTGAAGGAACTGTTAACATGGGAAGATGCACGTTTTGCCAAAAAAAAGTATTGTGCTTACTTGGGAAGAAAAGTAATTACATGTCACATAAATTGCTACAAGTATCCTTGGATGGACCAAATGCCTATCTTAAGTTCCTCTGAAATTTGTAAGAAAATTTAGATAATAATGATGGCTCATGTCATACGTTAGATATTGGGTCCTGTGTTTTGCTTGTCATTCACAATTTCTTGAGATGAGAGTTGAGAATAGAGCTGCTGATTGGAATCTAAGTGTATTATTTAAAGATGTGCATAGAGTATTTAAAGATAGACCTGCTTGGCTAAGCAGATTATATTACAATCACTAATTGTACAACTTTTGTGAAGTAAGATTGAGTGTAAACTTGTTGTGCAAACTTGTTGCTGACAGAACTATTGATATTTTTCCTCGTGGAAAAAATATATAGAATCATCTGAACTGTCAAAGACTGGGTTGGTTGAAAGATAGAA